AGGTCCTTGGCAGAGTCAGAGAGATGAGCTCTCCTGCCTTTAATGTGTTCCTTTCCATATGTTTAAAACAAACTCATTTACACATTTGGAAAGCAGAGTCAGACAGCTTCTGTCTGCTACTTCACTCCCTCATGTCCCCACCAGCCCAGGATGGACCAGGCCAAGGCCAGCAGCCAGGAGTTGCTTCTAGGTCTCCCACATACATGCAGGGGCCCAAGGACTCAAGCCATCCTCCACTGCCTTCCCAGGCTCATTAGCAGGGAGCTGGATTGGAAGCGGAGCAGCTGGGCCTTGAATGGGTGCCCCTTTGGAGATACTGGCATCTCAGCTCACAGCTTAACCCTATGTGCCACACTCTGGCCTCTTTCTCGCCATTCCTGACGGTGAGAAGCCTGGTCCCCACCACCCTTGCAATGCGTATGCATTTATCAGTGCCCCCTGTAACTAACCCATCTACCATGCTCCTTCCCTCCCAGTTCAGGCCCTGAAGCCCCCTTACAGGCTGCCCCACCCCTGCATGAACGCCGTGCCTAGACTCTAAGCACCAGCCCCTCCAAGACGCCCCCTCCCCGCTCCCTCCTGAGGCCATCTCAGCTCTGCTCTCCACACCCCACCTGGGCTCTGACACCCATCCTGGGACAAAGCACGGCTTCCCGCCATGTTGGCTCACCACGCTGTGACTCACCCAGCCACTGCATTGTTGCAGAAAGGGAGGGGAGAGTGGAGAGGGGAAGCAGGCGTATCTTTAATGAGCCTGAAAACATGCTGGTGAGTAACAGCAGGCCAGGAACTTGCAGTCATCTGTGCGCTCAGGCAGACCGCGTACTTGGAAGGAACTCTGGGCCCCTCCTGCCCGGAAGGACACCAAACCTTCTCCCCCAGGCTTCGCGACCTCTGCGCTGTGTCCTTCCTGCATGTTGTGGTTGTCTTGAGGGTTAAGTGAGTTAGGCAAGCGGAGTGCCAAACTCTGTATCAGCTGACGAGAGGGGAAGTGGCCAGGAGTTCAGTGAGATCCTCAGGTTGCCCCCGCAGGCCACACACCAGTGTGGGCACAGGGCAGACGGGGAGGCAGGACCCCCATCACTAGCACACCACTGAACGGGCACAAGAACTAGGAGCGCTTTGCCACTCAGAGCTGAGAGTGGCCAGGCAAGCTTGGATACCAGGGATGCGTTGAACCAACTGTGATGGTGGGGGCCAGGACTTCCTGCTGAGGGACCAACTGGAGCGATGGCAGAGGAGTACCGCACCACACGTCAGCCACCCCCAGGGCCAGGAACCTAGACCAGCAGGCCCAATGCCATCCACAAGACAGCCTTTTCCCAGGGTGCTATGCTGTGTGCTGCAGGACATAGCAGCCTCCGGGGTTTGTCCCCACGAATGCCAGCTGGCAGAATCCTGCCTGAACGACACTCAAGAATGCCATTCTGTCGTCACAGTGCTGTGACAAGTCCTCAGTATGTGGGCACGTGTGTGCGCATGCGTGTGGTTGCACATGTGTGCATGCAGGCACATGGCTCAGCCACAACCAGCCTTCCCGGGTCAGCAGCCCACTGGGATGAAGACACTTCCCAGGGCTGGGTTGCAGGGGAGGGGCGAGGCAGGACGAAGTGGATGACAAGCACTGCCTGGCCGGGTGACTCTGAATATAGTCACTTCCCTTCCTGGGCAACAGTCTTCTCATCGGTAAACCCGAGGGTTTCTCGCCTGGCTGAGGTTCCTTCTAGAAAGGGCTCATTCCCAGCTCACTGTGCACGAGTTCCACGATCAGCTAGCTAGTAACGTCTGCAGGAGTGCTGGCCTGGGGGATGGGAGCGCTTGCCTGTTCTGAAGGACAGGATTGGAAGGGGTGGGCGGTGTCTGTGGGAGGTCAGGAGGAAAAGTCTCCTGCAGGTCCTCACCCCGCCTCAGGGGGCGCTCACTCATTTCTCCCTGCAGCAGGGAATTAGGTGCAGGTGAGAGGAGACCCCAGAAAACTTTCCACCTCCTTCATGTCCCCCTTGAACATCCCGGGAGGGATCCGAGGAGCCGATCCACTCTGTGAGTGGAGACAGGAGCAGGTAGTGAAGCCTGTGCCAGGCTCTGCCAGGGTCAGCCGTGCTATCTGGAGCAAATTGCTCCAGTGGCATGAGCCTCGCTTTGCTCTCCTGTGAAATGGATCCTGAAGGATCCCGGTACAGTAGCCTAGCGGCTGAAGTGCTTGCCTTGCACACTCCAGGATCCCATACGGGCACCTGTTCGTATCCTGGAGGCCCTGCTTCCCATCCAGCTCCCCGCTTGTGGCTTGGGAAAGCAGTCGAGGACAGGCCAAAGCCTTGGGGCTCTGCACCAGCGTGGAAGACCTGGAAGAGGTTCCTGGCTTTGGATCGGCTTAGCTCCAGCCATTGCGACCACTTGGGGAGTGAATCAACAGATGGAAGATCTTCCTCTCTGTCCTTCCTCCTCTTTGTATATCTGAATTTTCAATAAAAATAAAGTAAATCTTAGAAAGAAAGAAAGAAAGAAAGAAAGAAAGAAAGAAAGAAAGAAAGAAAGAAAGAAAGAAAGAAAGAAAGAAAGAAAGAAAGAGAGGAAGGAAGGAAGGGGCGGGCCCTGAAGTCCTGCCCCCACCCACGTGGGCAGGCTCCCATGCAGCAAGCACTCAGCAGTGACCACATGGGCACTCTGTATAGAGTCCCAGTGCTAGGCATGCTTGGGACCCATGTTTCTTTGGGCAAACAATGGGGAGCCATGGATGGCTTAAGAGTCATGGGATGGGCCCAACAATTCCCACAGATTACCTCCTGCACAAGACCTGGACCAAGGTGACAGAGACAGGAGGCCCAGGAGGACACATCCTGGACTGCAGGGGGAGGGGATGTGGGGGAGAGCTCCTGTCAATCTCCATCAGCAAGAGTTGGTGGGGCCCAGTGCAGTGGCCTAGCGGTTACAGTCCTTGCCTTGAACCTGCCAGAATCCCATATGGGCACTGGTTCTAATCCTGGCAGCCCCACTTCCCATCCAGCTCCCTGTTTGTGGCCTGGGAAAGCAGTTGAGGACAGCCCAAGGCCCTGGGACCCTGCATCCGCGTGGGAGACCTGAAAGAGCTCCTGGCTCCTGGCTTCAGATTAGTGCAGCTCCGGCCATTGCGCTCACTTGGGGAATGAATCATTGGACAGAAGATCTTCTTCTCTGTCTCCTCCTCTCTATATATCTGACTTTGCAATTAAAACAAAAATCTTAAAAAAAAAAAAAAAGTTGGTGGAAGATGGAAGGGAGCAGACCCGGGGGTAGGAGGCAATAAAAAGAAAAGGTTGACGGGGTATGCACTCTCCAAGTCTCTGGGAATGAGCAGGAGGAGATGAAAGAGAGATGGCCCAAGATTGTGACTTACTTTCTCTGCCTTTTTTTTCCTGCCAAGATTTATCTTATTTTTATTGGAAAGGCAGGATTATAGAGGAGAAAGAGAGACAGAAAGATCCATCTTCTGGTTCATTTGCCTAGTGGCTGCAATGGCTGGAGCTGGGCCAGTCTGAAGCCAGAAGCCAGGAGTTGCTTCTGAGTCTCCCAAGTGGGTGCATGGACCCAAAGACTTGAGCCATTCTCTGCTGGTTTTCCTAGGTACATCAGTAGGGAGCTGGGGGGGAGCGGAGTAGCCGGGACATGAACCAGTGCCCATGTGGAATGCTGCCATAGCAGATGGAGACTTTACTTGATAAGCCACAAAGCTGGCCCCTACTGTGATGCTCCTGGACTGAACTCCATGGGGCGCGGCTGCCATCAGCTGCAGGCAACCACGCTGCCGTCCTGGGAGGAGCGCTGGCTCCAGGACACTTGGGCTGTCACTGGGGTGGTGGCTCTGAACAGCCCCCACGTGGCCCCAACATCCCGGCAGGTCCTTGGCAGGTCCTCGGGGCTCTGATCCCAGCACTGGGGCCTCCCCACTCCCACGCAGCCTCCTCCTCCTTGAACTCCCAGGAGAACACTCTGGGCAGGAGCCAGAGGTGCTGAGACCTGACTGGCTCTCAGGGCACCTGGCCCCTGGTAGGTAGGTGTGGATGGATACAAAGCTTCCCCCAGGGCTGGAAGATGCTGGGATGTGTTGTACTCTGTCACCCAGCAGTCTCTCAGGGGCTGAGCTCCAGGGTCCACGCATACATCCACTGCAGGACAGACCCACTCATTCCCTGACTCTGCACTGGCCGCCCCCCCCTTCCAAGCTCTGAACCCCAGCCCAGCCTCACAGTCTGCACCTAGCACAGCCGGGACTCCCCACCAGGCCCTGGGGCATCCAGCCCAGGAAGGAAGGGCGGTTACTTCTGCGACATTCATCCCTTTCACCCCCACTTGCCACCCCTCCCCTGTGCAGCAACCAAAGGATCTGACCCTGTGGCCCCCGGGGGACCCAGCCTGGATCCTTCTTGAGCTAGAACACCCAACCCCTTCAGCTCAGCATGGGCTCTTTGCAGAGTGCAAACCCCACCCTATCTAGCCCAGGACGGCAGAGCAGAGAGGAGCACCTTCCTGGGACCAGGACACCTGCAACCTCACTAGAGAGGCGCCCAGCCCCCTCTACGCTGGCTCCTACCAGGGCAGCATTCCCTCCTCCTGCTCCAGGGAAGTCTGAGTCTTTGGATCAATTAGCATTTGTGCTGAGGGGGAGCGTGCAGACCCCTCCAGGCCAGGGGAGGCTCCAGGATCTGCCCCAAGCGCCCCGGGCCTGGGAACCCCAGATGTGTTGTGCAATCAGGTGGGCGGGAGAACAGGCTCACCCCGGCTGGCAGGGAGCAAATATCCCAGGCTGGCAGTGCCAAGGCGGGGCCTGCACCAGCCTCCAGCCTGCAGGCAGGGAGGCTCCCTCGAAGATAAGCCCGCCCTGGGCTGCGGCCCCAGAGCCAGACTGCACAGAGTCGCTTTTCTGAGCAGCGGGAGAGTGAGCCGGAGCTCTGCACACCACCGCCAGCTAGCCTCCCAAGAGCGCCGCCGCAGCGGATTGGTCCAGAAAAGCGCTCGGCGCCAGCATGAGCCGGTCAAGACTCATGGGCAAGATCAGGAAACGTCTGGAAGATGTCAAGAGCCAGTGGATCCGGCCAGGAAGGGCCGACTTCAGCGACAACGAGAGCGTCCGGCTGGCTACAGATGCCCTCCTGGACGGGGGTCCCGAGGCTTACCGGCGGGCGCTCTACCAAGAGGGCGAGGTGGACTTCCTGTCCTCGGTGGAGGCCCAGTACATCCAGGCCTGGGCCAAGGAGCCCCACTGTGCCTCCGATGCTACCGCAGGCGCCACCGAGGTCGGGCCCAAGGCCCTAGACACCAGCTCCCTCCAGTCAGGTACCTACTTTCCCGTGGCCTCGGAGGGCAGTGAACCGGCCCTGCTGCACACGTGGGCCGCAGCCGAGAAGCCCTACCTGCAGGAGAAGTCCACCGCCACTGTTTATTTCCAGACGGACAAGCACAACAACCTCAGGGACCTCGTGCGCCGCTGCATCGCCAGGAGCAGCCAGGTAGCGGTGGCCCAGCCCCGTGCCCTTGGCCTTGGGTGAAAGAACACAAGGTGGGGGTGTGGAAGACTGGGGCCTGGGATGGAGGTGAAGGCCTCGTGCTGTCTGGCCCTGGAAGGCTGACCCACTGACCTCCTGACCCTGCCTGTTGCAGCCCTGGGCCAGGCCACGCCCCCTCTCCTCCTGCCACCCTTCCCAAGGGTCCCTTTGCCTGAGCTGTTTCCCACACCGGGGTCACTTTTCCTGCATTTTACCCCGCTCACGTCATTTGCTGCGGCGCGCTCGGGGACCCAGCAAGCACAGCTGTGCTGAATTCCTTACGTGGGGCTAGGCACCTGCTTCTGTCCTTGCTGATGACGGGGCCCACTCCCTGGGGACACACCGCACCCAGCCAGTGGCCAGTCTGGGTGTCCCTGTCCCCAGAGGATGTAGATCTTTACAGGTGACTGGAAGAGAACAAGTCCTAAGAGAGAAGTGTTTGGGCTGAAAGAATTCCAGGTCCCCTGAAGGCAGGTGGCATGTCCCACCAGAGGCCCTGAAACCCCAGGCCCTCAGTGGATGCCTCTCCCAGTTCGGAAGGTGTAAGAGGGATGCAGCCTGGGACACAGGGCAGGGGATGCCCACCTTCTTCCCCCTCACCCCTCACAGCTGGACAGGGGCAGGGGCAAGAGGGGACTCTCAGACAGAAATTTATCACCTGTAAAGATGGATAGATTCAGTATCTGTCAAGACTGATTTTTCTCTGTCTCTAAAATGTTTTATTTGGATACATCTTTTAAAAAATAATTTTTTAAAATGCTGATATGTGGCTAGGATCCCAGTCTTTTGAGTATTTCTCAAGTTCAATATTTGAAGTTCCAGGAAAAGCCCACAGAGAGATAGCGCATGGTGGGAGTTGTAGGAAGTTCTGGAAAAATCCACTGGAAGGGGATGCAGATGGAGCAGGCAATGTTGGTGTGGCTTGGCTGCTTGGGCACCAGGACAAGGTAGTATTAACAACTGACAGCCCACTTGACTGCAGGGAGCCAATCAGGAGCCCTGGGGCGGCCTCACTGCCTGTCAGGTCTGCGCTCCCTTCCTGTTCCCATGTGTGAAGTTGAGGGCTCTCCCAGGAGCAGGGCTCAGAAGTGTTGCAAGATACCTGGAGGGAGGCCAAGCTGGGGCTTGTTAAACTGGTCCTGGGCTGAGCCCTCACCTTCCTTCACTCCCCATCTGCTAAGGCTTCCTCCCACCTCCGTGGCCCTGAGCACACTCCCCGCCCCACCAGGTCCTTCTCACTCACACAGCATGTTATGCCTCTAGGACAGCCCTGCGACTCCAAGGACTTCACTGAAAAGTGAGCATGCCCAAGGGGCACAGGCAGTCAGGCAGGCAGACAGCAGGCGGGCCTGGCTCACTTGGAGTTATGGCCACTTCTTCAGGTTGATCCTCTTTGCTGCTGTCCCCACCCCTCTATTGCATTGCACCTGTTTGTGTTGCTTGCCAGACTCCTGCAGTCAGGGTTTGTGTTATCCACTCATGCATGCATGCACAGGCAGAGGGCTCGAGGAAGGTCTGCTCCCATGGATGTGCTGGTGGAGGGTGGTGGAATCAAGGACTAGCAGGATCCCCAGCCAGGGCTGTCAGGGAGGTAGGAGAATAGAAGGGGCATTGGGACCAGGTGGGCAGGGGTGGAGAGAAGCTACACGGAGACTCCTGGGGGAACCTGCCTGAGTGTTCTCCTGGCTGCTTCCCCTCTCATCAGACAGCAGCGAGCCCAAGAGAAAGGGTAGGGGTGCTTAGGAAGAGCCCCCTGGGGTGCTGAGTCCCAGCGCCTGACTCTGCTGCTTCCTGTTTGTGGGCACCATGGAAAGCATCTGACAATGGCCCTTCCCTCCACATGCGAGACCCAGATGGAGTTCCTGGGATTTGGGGCACTGAAGCAGTGGATAGAAATTCTCTCCTATCGTAGCTTCTCAAATAAACACAAAATAAGTTGTAAAATTTGGTTTGTTTTTTTTTTTTAAGATTTATTTATTTATTTACTGGAAAGTCAGATATACAGAGAGGAGGAGAGACAGAGAGGAAGATCTTCCATCTGATGATTCACTCCCCAAGTGAGCACAACGCCTGATGCTATGCCGGTCCGAAGCCAGGATCCAGGAACTTCTTCCAGGTATCCCACAAGGGTGCAGGGTCCCAAAGCTTTAGGCCGTCCTCCACTGCTTTCCCAGGCCACAAGCAGGGAGCTGGATGGGAAGTGGAGCTGTTGGGATTAGAACCGGCACCCATGTGGGATCCTGGCACGTTCAAGGTGAGGACTTTAGCCACTAGGCCACATCGCCGGGCCCGTAAAATTTGTTTTAAAGGATGCTGCGGGATCTAACACAATAACCTAGTAGCCTTGCATCTGCCAGGATCCCATAAGGGTGCCGGTTTATGTCCCGGCTACTCCCCTTCACATCCAGCTCCTCGAGAAAGCAGACGAGGATGGCCCAAAGCCTTTGAACCCTGCACCCATGTGGGAGACCAGAAGAAGCTCCTGGCTTCAGATCAGCCCAGTTCCAGCCATTATGGCCACTTGGGGAGTGAACCAGTGGATGAAAGATCTTTCTCTCTGTATCCCCTTCTCTGTATATCTGCCTTTCCCATACAAAATAAATCTTTTTTTAAAAAAAGGATGCTGCAAAAGCAGTGAAATTCCTAGTGCCCCTTGGCTGCCCCTTGTAAACCCATGGAGGAAGGAGTCCCGTTTGTCACCCACTTCCTTGAGCTCAATGAGAGCAGCCCTCCTCTGCTGCCTTCCCAGGCACACTAGCAAGGAGAGCATCAGAGGTGGAACAGCCAGGACTCAAACAGGTGCCCATATGCATGTTGGCACTGTAGGTGGCAGCAGCTTTAGCTGCCACACTGCGATGCCGGCCCCAGAACCTTTGCTTTCTGTGGTGCTCAGGTTACATGCAGGAAGAGCCTCATCTTGCACAACCTCAGAGGCTTTCTGGATGCACAGCATCTGGAGACTGGGACCCAGAGAGGCCAAATGACTTGCTCAAAGGCACACAGCTGGCTTCTAGCAGCTTCTAGTAGCACCAGGTCTGGAGCCAAAGTGCCCAAACTCCTGGCACAGCCCTTTCGTCTGGATCGCATGGACTGTTAACTATGGCTTCCACAGCAGCCTGCCATAGTCCAAAGCCAGGAGCTTCTTCTGGATCTTCTACATGGACCCAGGGTCCCAAGGCTTTGGGCCATCCTCCACTGCTTTCCCAGGCCACAAGCAGGGAGCTGGATGGGAAGTGGAGCTGCCGGGATTAGAACCACCCCTCCAGTAGAACAGCACTGGATATAGGTCTTGCCGGCCACTGGGGCTAGCGTGGGGCCCCAGCTTCTCTGTGACCCTGCCCTCCTTCGTGCCAGGTCCTGGCCATCCTGATGGACGTGTTCACTGACGTGGAGATCTTCTGTGACCTCCTGGAGGCGGCCAACAAGCGCAGGGTGTTTGTCTGCGTGCTCCTGGACCAGGCAGGTGTGGCGCTGTTCCAGGAAATGTGTGACAAACTCCAGATCTCTGATGGTCACCTCAAGGTAGGACCCCCGGAAGAGTCCCCAGGGTGCTGCGTGTCAGGTCAGGAAGGGGAGGCCTGATTGTGAATGCCTCGGTGTTTGTCCCCTCGCTTCACCTGCAAGTCGGGTCGTGTGGCCCTCCTCTATCTTGAGCTGCACCAAGGCAACGACACAGAGGCAGCAGGCAGCATCACTGCCCCTTTCGCCTGTCGGCTGGGGAAGCCCAATGGGAGAGCCTCCTGGGCCAGGGCGACCCGTGGAACCCACAGGAGACAGGGTAGAGCTTCTTGGCCCCAACAGGACATGGGTCATCTCACTGAAGAGAAGCTACATCCCCACCCCCACATCCCTTTCCTGGCAGGGAGAAAAGAAACCCCAGAGGTCAGGGCACATAGGCACCCAAGTTCAAGAGCACCTCATGCAAGGTCAAGTGCGACCACCCCACTGTAGTTTCCATAAGAGGGTCAAGGGCAGTCCACAGGCTTCCTTGGTTGACTCCCCTCTCACTGCAGCTCCTCTTGACCAGGATGAAGCCCCCACCCCCACCTCCTTTCCCCTGCCCTCCTCATTAGTGCAGCTGTGTTCAGGGGCCCTCCCGACACCTCACGCCCTTTGCCTCTCTGCTCTGACTCAACCCTGGCCGGGTCCCATCTCCTGGGTATGAGGCCAGCCAAGAAATCCAGAGGCCTTGTCTTCAAGGGCACCAAAGGCTAATGGGATGTGCCTTTCCTCTTGGGAGACTGCCACCTTCCCTGCCCTCTGGTTTCCCCAGCTTCAGGGCTGGGGCAGCAGGTGCTGCTGGCAGGGCACAGGGGACCACAGGTAGCTGTGATATGAGCTGAGTCACCCTGGCTTGGGACAGTGGAGGGTCCACTGGACCTCCACAAAGCCACCCCTTTGGTTATACTGGGCCATCTCTCTGGCCAGCTTAGGGTCAGGGCCTTGTCACCGAGGCCACTTACAAGACAGAGCTGGGCCTTGGCGTCCCTGGGGGCTTTGGCTGGGAACTTAATGGGTGCCAGCTCCTTGTTCTCTTTCCTGCCTCTTTGAGCTTCTACCCTCTTTTCTCTCCTCTCTCTTTTTTTCCACCAGCAAATGCCAGGACAATGAAGAAAAATTAGGAAAGTCAGCCAAGGAAGATGCTTAAACAGCCCATAATCCCACCACACAGGAAGTCACCTGTGTTTATATCTTTAGTGAAAATTCTTCCAGCATTTCCTTTTGCCAATTGTTATGGCCTGTCTGGGCTACTGCCGTAGAATAGCCTCCGTGGCAGGGCTTCAAGACAATGGGGAGATTCCTTTCTCACAGTCTGGGGGTGAAGGAGCCCTACCAGGACGAAGCTGCCTGGCGGCAGGGCCATCTCTGCTTCAGCTGTCTCCTCACTACCCTCATCCAGGGGGCTCTCGGGGGTCTCTTGTAGGACACTAACCCTGCCCCTAAAGGCTGTGCCGCTGTGAGCTGTTCACCGCCCCCCGCCAGCCTCACCTTTCAAAGCCGCCACTTTGGAGGTGGGCACCCCCCAGTGCACACCCCCTGCAATAAGCGACGCCTGCATCCTCCTTCCCGCAGAACATGTCTGTCCGGAGTGTGACGGGAGAGGTGTACTGTGCCAAATCAGGCAGGAAATTCGCCGGCCAAGTCCAGGAGAAGTTCATCATCTCCGACTGGAGGTTGGTCCTGTCTGGCTCCTACAGGTAAGCACTGGGTTCACTTCCTGTCAGCTTCCTGGAGGTGGTGCAGAGCAGTTCCCCGCTGCTAGTGCGCACACATCAGCACCAGCCCAGGACACGCCCTGGCTGAGCCAGAGCTCCTGCCCAGGGCAGCAGCCAGAGAGGCTGGGCCTTCTCTGGGGGGGACTGCCGGGTGAAGTGGCACTGCCAGGTGTCTCACCTTTCCTAGCAACTGCAATGAGACATGAAATCTTCCTTTCTCCTCCTCCATGGGAAGGCAGAGAGAGACAGAGATCTTCCATCCACTGGTTCGCTCCCCAGTGGCCACAACAGCCAGGGCTGAGCCAGGATGAAGTCAGGAGCCAGGAGCTTCCTGTGTGTTTCTCATTGGGGGGCCACAGGCCTCACTCCTTGAACTGTGACTCTCGGGACCCACAGTGGTAGGGGACTGTGCCAAAATTGAAGGAGCTGGGTCTAGACCAGGGCCTCCACCACGGGATGTGAGTGCCCCCAGCAGTGACACAGCTACTGTGCAGGTGGTTGTAGGTTACCCCACCAAGGGCATCTCCCCAGGCAGAGGTAGAGCAACAGGAAGCAAGAGAAGCAGGGAGGACTGGCTGTCCTAGGGGGCCTTGCCAACAAGCCCCAGAAACCAGCCATGGAGGCAGTGGAAGAGGAACAGACACATCAACCAATGGGATGGAAGGAAAGTGCAGGTACAGACCCACCCACAACAGGGGACATGGAGCCATGGGGGAGAACAGGAAGTAGGTCATTCTCCCGCTGGAAAATCAGGTTCCTACCTCACACCTACTTTCTTAACATCAGCTCCCATGGAGCCAGCAGGCTAATCCTCCACTTGTGGTGCCAACATCCCATATGGACATTGGTTAGTATCCTAGCTGCTCCACTTCGAATCCAATTCCCTACTGATATGCCTGGGAAAGCAGTGGAGGATGGCCCAAGTGCTTAGGCCCCTGCACCCACATGGAAGACCTGGAAGGAACTTCTGTCTCCCAGCTTCAGACCAGTCCAGCTCTGGCCATAGCAGCCATTCAGGGAGTTTTCCAGGGAACAGACTATCTGTCTCTCTGATTTTAAAATAAATACATAATTTTCTAAAGAATTACTTGTTTATTTGAAAGAGTTAGAAAGAGGAGAGATAGGAGAGCCACCCTCTGCTACTTTCCTAGGAGCATACACAGGGACCTGGATGGGAACAGGAAGTGGAGCAGCTAGGACTCAAACTGGTGCCCCATACGGGAAGCCACTGCAGCAGGTGGCAGCTGTGGTGGCTTAACCCGTGGTGTCACAGCACCAGCCCCCAGATGCCTTAGGTCTTCCTGACACAGCCCAAACCCCCGAGGACAGCCCCCTTTATGTTGCTGCTTCCCCCAGAGCTCTGTGTGGGTGGAGGAGGCGAGTGGTGTCCCACTTCACAGGTGGAGACACTGAGGCTGGGGCTGCTGGACCTGAGGGCTCGGCTTCCCTGCAGCCCCTCCTGCTTTCTTGGGGAGCATCTAGGGGCACCTGGAGACCACACATGTACGAACTAGAGCCTCAATCCTTCACCTGCAAACACCTGTAAGAACGGGGCCACCAGGCCGTGACTTTGAGCAGGAGACCCAGCATCTCCTTCCCTCCAGCGGGAAGGGAGTCGCCCTCCCGCCCTGTGCGGAGGGGGCCACAGGCCCCCTCATCCTCACCCTCACCCGGTCCCCTCCTCCTGTAGCTTCACCTGGCTCTGTGGACACGTGCACCGGAACATCCTGTCCAAGTTCACTGGCCAGGCGGTGGAGCCATTCGACGAGGAGTTCCGCCATCTCTACGCCTCCTCCAAGCCTGTGATGGGTCCTAAGTCACCCAGGCTGGCGGCCCTGGTACAGACTCGAGTTGGCACCAGCCCTCCCCACGGGGGCCTCAGCAGCAGCAGCAGCAGCAGCAACAGCTCGGCCAGTGATCGCTCTGCCTCCAACGCCTTCAGCAGCCCCTCAACCAGCAGTAATCCCCAGAATCAGAACCTGTCCCCTGGGCCCTGCAGTCCTGGGGTCCCACAGCCAGCACCACCTCCCAGGGCTCAGCCCTACCACAGCCCCTGGGCAGCCCTGCTCTGTCCCAGGCCGCCTGCTCTCTACAGCAACTTCAATGTCTACAGGCCCACACGGCTGCAGCTGGAGCAGCTAGGCCTGGTGCCTGCCAGGGGGGCCCACACCTGGAGGCCCTTTCTGCAGGCCACACCCTACTTCTGATGGCCCCCCTTGGTCCAGATACCCTTCCTGGAGCCAGCTCTGGAGGTGCCTGGAGCTTCTGACCCAAACCACCTTGCAGTTTTGAAGCCACTTTCCAGTGAACTGAAGGCGCTGACCTGACATGGTTGCCTGGATGCAATGTTCCCAGGCCTGGGCTTCCACCTGTTGATACTCAATTTCCTACCACCCCTACCCATCCTGGTGACTATCTAGTCTGGCCTATGTAGAACATTCCAGAAGGTTCCAGGGAGGTGATGGGAAGCCCCAAAAGGTAGACGGATGGAAGGTGAGACCTTCTGCTTCCCAGTGCCCAGGAATGGGCCCCTCTCCCAGAGAATCAGAAGGGAAAGAATCAGCTGGGGGGTTGGGAACATTCTGGAGGTTTCTAGGAAAGTTGATGAGACGGGGATGGCTTGCTCTCTCCAAAAAGGCTGGCATCAGTGTATCCCTGGGCAGCCCTGTGAAGTGGAGGTAAGGTCCCAGAACTCCCTCTGGGGCCTTGTGAGCTATAGACACTGGGGACAGAGCCAGCCAGGGACCTGGGGATCCCAGTGGGACCAGGCAGCTCAGTGCATTTCAGAGCCCCGGGCTGCCACCTGGGGCTTCCTGGGATCAGAGCTGGATGTCACAGGTGGAGCTGACAGGCCCTGGGATGCGCCCAGGGAGGACTGGCCTTCCCCCAGACCCAGGGGCCTCTGCCTGGCCTGGTAAGTGCCTGAGGAATGAATGCTGCACCTGCACAAGCTCCATCATTCCTGGGATTTAGGAAGTTAACCAGCAAACGGAAGTTTTCTCCCGTCTACCTTTCTGTATCTTGGAAATAAAAGTTTTTAATAAAAGAAACAACTTGCCTGCCAGACAATTTACAGGGTACAACAATGGCCTTCTGTAAATGGAGACAGGGATATGGGTTGGCGGTGCCGTGCAGCCAAAAGGACAGGATAAAGACAGCCCCCAGGGTCGCTCAAGAAGGTGCGTCTTGAGAGTAAGGCACTCCGGGCTCTGTTCCAGCCCACCTTTTTAAAAAAATTTATTTATTTTTATTGCAAAGTCAGATATACAGAGAGGAGGAGAGACAGAGAAGAAGATCTTCCATCTGATGATTCACTCCCCAAGTGACCACTACAACTGGTGCTACACTGATCCAAAGCCAGGAGCCAGGAATCTCCTCCAGGTCTCCCACGCGGGTGCAGGGCCCCAAGGCTTTGAGCCATCCTCAACTGCTTTCCCATGCCACAACCAGGGAGCTGGAAGGGAAGTGGAGCTGCTGGGATTAGAATCAGTGCCCATTTGGGATCCCGGTACATGCAAGGCGAGGACTTTAGCTGCTAGGCCACCATGCCGGGCCGCCAGCCCATCTTCGAAGCTACGGCTAGAGAGCCAAAAGCCTAAAGCAGGAGACCATGGGCTCCTAATGGTTAACTAATGGTTAAGCTAGAAAATTTGTCCCTCCTCTCTCTGTAACCTTTTCAGATAAATTAAAAAGAGAAGAACTTCTTGAAGTCAGGGTTCTGTGACCCACCTCACACACATTACAGGAGGCGGCACCACACACTCCACACACGGCACAGCAGATGCTCCTGTGTGCCCAGACCCCGCAGCAGGAGGACCGAGAGCGACCCGCTGCAGCAGACTTGGCTGCTGAGCAGACACGGCCCTGCGCCCTGTCAGCACCGAGGGACTGGCAGGCCACCTCGCCAGCGGGCCAATCCTCAGATGCTTGGTACCTCCTGACACACTCTTGTTGGGCCATGTTCTGGGTCATTAATCCCTGAGGAATTTGTCCCCACAGTGTGGACTCTTCAATGCCAGCTGTAACACTGCAGCTGCCTTTAAAAGGCACTGAAACTCAGGGTCCTTCAGAGCTGGCCAACAGCCCCTTGCTGAGGGGGAGCGAGCGCGAGGTGTGGTGCTGTGAGGAACGGAATAAAACCCAACGAGGAAACGGAAAAGAGGCTGAAGACTAAAAACAACCCTAGAAGCCATTTAAAAAAAATATTTACTAATTAATTTATTTAAGATTTAATTTTTATTCTTATTGGAAAGGCAGTTTTCAGAGAGAAGGAATGACAGAAGGATCTTCCAGCTGCTGGCTCACTCCCCAAGTGGTCGCAATAGCCAGAACTGAGCTGATCCAAAGCCAGGAGCCAGGAACTTCTTCCAGGTCCCACCTGGGTGCAGGGTCCCAAGGCTTTGGGCCATTTTCTGCTGCTTTCACAGGCCACAAGTAGGGAGCTGGAAGGGAAGTGGAGCAGCCAGGACATGAACTTGTGCCCATATGGGATCCTGGCACTTGGAGGTAGAGGATTAGAAAATTGAGCCATCACGCTGGGCTCAATAGAAGCCATTTTTATAAAACACAAGTCGCCGGCCTTAATCCCCATGTCCTGTGAGTACCAGCAGATCCCGTCTCAGGCAAACCAGGATCCGTCCATCTTGCGGACAGGACCGCTAGGCCGAGGTGTGGGTGTGCACGCTGAGCTGACTGCGGCAGGGCCAGAGCTGCTCTCGGATCCTGTGGAACCACCTGGCTTCGAACTCCTCGCAAGAGGCAGCCTCCCAGGCGGTTAGGGCCGCGGGCCCGACACTCTTCACCTCGGAGTGAAGCTCCTCCTTGATTTTTTCTGGAACGATGTCTTCTCCCATGACCTGTAGCAGGAGAAAAACTCTGTCCCAGGGCACAGGCAGCAGATGAGGCAGGCCTGACCGCCCAGGCACCAGGCCGAAGAAAAGTTCCTGAGCCATCGGAGGGATTCCCAACATAATGAAAAGACACTTGCCCAGAAGCAGCTACTCAAGGACCGTAGTGAGGAACTTTAAAATGTTCATGGAAAATACAATTAAATGCTTCTTCTGGGCCACTAAGTGTTGTGGCATAGCACACAAAGTTGCTGCCTGCAATACCAGTCAGTATCCCACGTGGACACCAGTTCAAGACCCAATTTTGCTCTATTTTTGAATCAGCACAGGGGAGAGCATTCTGTCTCTCCTCTCTGTATATCTCCCTTTCCAATAAAAAATAATAACAATTCAATTGGGGTCCAGCGTGGTAGCCTAGTGGCTAAAGTCCTCACCTTGAATGCTCCAGGATCCCAATGGGCACTGATTCTAATCCCAGCAGCTCCACTTCCCATCCAGCTTCCTGGTTGTGGCATGGGAAAGCAGTTGAGGATGGCTCAAAGCCTTGGGGCCCTGCACCCGCATGGGAGACCTGGAGGAGATTCCTGGCTCCTGGCTTTGGATCAGTGTAGCACCGGGCGTAGTGGTCACTTGGGGAGTGAATCATCAGATGGAAGATCTTCCTCTTTGTCTCTCCTCCTCTCTGTATATCTGACTTTGCAGCAAAAATAAATAAGTCTTTAAAATAATAATTAAATATTTAAAAAATTTAAATTTATTTTTATTTGAAAGGGCAGAGTTAAACAGAAGATGCAGAGAAAGAGAGACCTCCAATCCACCATTCCACTCCTCAGATAGCCACAATGGCCAGAGCTGGGCAGGTTCGAAGCCAGAAGCCAGGCACCTCTCCCAGGTCTCCCTCGTGGGTGCAGGGGACCAAGGATTTGAGCCGTCTTCCACTACTTTCCCAGACTTTTAGCAAAGAGCTGGATCAGAAGTGGGGCAGCTAGGACACAGATCAGTGCCCACATGGGATGCCAGTGCCACAGGTGGAATCTTAGCCGGCCACACCACAGAGCTGGCCACGCCCTTAGCTCCCTGCCACCCCACGGCACATCCTACTGGAGTTCTGGGCTCCTAGCTTTGCCTCGGCCAAGCCTCATGAATCAAAGCTCACTTTCTCTTCCTTCCCTAAGTAAACAAACCTCTTTGTTAAGAAAGAAAAGCAAGAGGAAAAAGAAACTGCAGCAGGACAATTTACAAAAAGCGAAGGTTTTTAAAGAGATAGACGGTGAGGATTTTTACACAGCGCTGGTCTCCCTGCAGCCAGGGAGGGGGGAACGGGGCGGAAAGCAGACGCACAGCTGGCACAGCCGCCTCCCAGGCTAGCTCTGCCTCAAACGGGAGCGTGGACTCCTTTGTCTGCCGGGCGGTGGACATGCAGGAGAGACATTTACACTGTGCACAGGCCCAGGCCAGCAAGCAGCCCAGACACACCACAGCACAGCTGCCGAGCCCGGAGCAGAGGCCGCCCCTGTGCTGCCGAGTGACCCACAGGCACGGACAGGTGGAGACAAGTTCCCCAGCGCGGGACGCTTGGCTCTGTCTCTTACAGAACAGTTCTGGAGCCAGCACAAATATCCAGGATGCCTGCTTTCACGCACACCCAGGGGGATTCACTCACCTCAGCAATCACCAGCAAAGTGTCTTCTTTGAAGCTGAACCCTTTCATTCTGTCTTCAATCTCCCGCTGAGTCCTTAGGTTCTTCTCCAAAGCAAACGATGTTTGCTGCGACTGCGTAAGCTGAAGCAAAAGCCTAAAAAGCAGAGGGATACGGCTGTGCGGAGCGCAGCTGGGAGTCAGGACCACCAGGCTGTGGGGACACTGCCAGGCCTGCAGGGCCCGGCTAACCCTCCCGAAGCGCTCCGTATAAATCCCCCAGCTTTGCAGCGCAGAAGCGCCTTTTCAGAAACAGACCAAAACTTTTCAAAGAACAGCACCAGCTCCAGGGAGCTTCCTGGGGAAAGTCATGTGCTTGAATGTGCGAGTGACTGGCGGAGGGATCTGCTATGTGCCTGTCCCGCTCCCAGACCCTGCAGCCATGTGGCCTCCAGGCCCCGCGACATTCACCAGCACACAAGACTCTCCCAAAGAGGCCAGACCTGCGACGACCCTCGGATGAGCACCCGCAGCCCTCTGCCCACCCCCGACTGTCAGGATTGTAGCTGACCCCCTCTCCTGGTCTTCCCCTCCCTGTCCTCCTCACTCGGCTCCTGTCTTTTTCCATATCCTGCAAGTGCCTCCAGAGTTTCCCAATTTTCCTCAAGTTTCGCTGCTCCCAAACGCTTCCCCCAGATGCACCCAGGTCTCATGCTCACTCATTGCCTGGCCGAGATGTGCTAGGTACTGCTCGAGGCCCTGAGGTAAGCACGGGCAGGACAGGTGCTGGCTCAGCTCTGACAGCTGCGGTCCCACTTGGCGAGTAAACCAGCAGATGGAAGATCTTTCTGTCTCTCCTTCTCTCTGTATATCTGTTTTTCCATTAAAAAATTAAATTAAAATAAATCTTAAAAAGAAAAGACGGGACCCGGCACGGTAGTCTAGTGACTGAAATCCTTGCCTTGCACATGCCAGGATCCCATGTGGGCACCAGTCTGTGTCCTGGTGGCCCCACTTCTCATCCAGCTCCCTGCTTGTGGCCTGGGAAAGCAGTTGAGGTTGGCCCAAAGCTTTGGGACCCTGCACCCATGTGGGAGACCCGGAAGAGGCTCTGGGCTTCTGGCTTCAGATGGTCTCAGCTCCAGCCTTTGCAGCCACTTGGGGAGTGAATCATCGGACAGAAGATCTTCCTCTCTGTCTCTCCTCCTCTCTGTATATCTGACTTTCCAATAAAAATAATACATATTTAAAAAAAAAAAGGAAAAAGAAAAAGATGATATCTAATGTCTGTGCTAACAATAAAACTCAAACCAATGCAGCTATGGTTTGTCAAGTGCCAACTGCGTACTGCGCAGTGTGGTGAGTACCGTAGATACCCTAATGCCACCCCAGGAAGTGGGCATTTCCATCAGTCCTCTACCGTGAAGATGAAGAACTGAGGAGCAGAGAGCTCCAGACACGTGTGAGGGAGGACAGCCGGCAAGCGGCCGACTCCAGGCTCACTCATGCACAGCCACCGCTCACTGAATTCCTGACCGTCAGCTCTGCCGCCCTCTTGGCCGGCCGCTTCAGGGCTGCTCTCACTGCCACCCCTCGGGGGACCACACTTTCCCACCCTGGCTTCTCAAGCCTCCAGACTCAAATGACACTGAAGTCAAGGGGTACTGTGGAGACCATCAGCAAAATCCCCCAGTCCAGCCTAAGATCTGAGGGCTCCAACTGGAAACACAGAACCCTGACTACAAGCCAGGGTAGTCGGCCGCACGCGGCTCACCTCGGCTTACCTGGTTCGTATAAAAGAGGCGCAGGCCTTCATCTGCGTGTCTCTCAGCGCTGCCTCTCTCTTCTCTGCCACACAGTGTGGAACGTCTCCCGTCGCCGGCTCCTCTTCCTGGCTGTGACTGCTCCCTGCTTCCTCCGCCAACGCAGAGGTCCCAGGCAAGGTTTCAGGGGAACACGAAAGGCCCCCTCTGCCCGAGTGCGGAGAGGGGGAGCTGACCATCTCAGCACCTGAGGTGAAGCTGTTCTGCTTCTGAGATGACGCAAAGGATGTGGTGAGAGCTAGCCCCAGACGCAGGTACGCCTCTGCCAGCCTGCCCCAGTTCCAGGGATTAAAAGGATGCAAAGAAATCAGTTTCTGCAAGCAGAAAACTGTCCTCTCCACGTCCTGCCAACTGGAGAAAATAGCAAATTGTAGGTACAGCACGGTGGTTAAATGGTCTGTGTTAGTGGCTTTCTTTTCCTAAGAAGAAAACAAAAAGTTACAATGTTAGACAGGAAGTGTCTCCCATTCAAATGAAGGTGTCCGGCTGTATGTGAGCATCTTCCAGCAGCTTTGTAAGTGGAGTACATTAAACAGACTCCCACTTGAAACCCCGAATCCAGAGAAGTACATACTATCTAGCAAAATAGCCATCAGCCACGCCTGAGCACCCCAACCTCACTTGGCCACGCTGACCTACTCATTTACTGAGAGCGGCTGACAAAGTTATGTAACACAACTATGTCATCGATGCCCCATTTTTACTATAATCTTTACCATCTCCAGAAGAAACATCAAAGACGAGGCCAGTTCTCACAGACCCTGAGCTCATGGTTCCATTTTCCTATTCAAGCCTTTCTAACCATCCAAATGAGCATTTTCCTTGAGCATCTGGACCAAGTCCATGTCCAAACTGTCCTTGGCTTCACCATCTCCAGGATGGCCCTGCCTGCGGCTCTCGGCGCTCCAGGAGGCAGCGTAATTGAACCCAAATGCCTGCTCTGGGAGCTATTAGCAGGCTCATTATTTTTGGCTTGAGAGGTTGCTTGCTTTCCTTCTGATCAGAAAATCCTTTTCAAGTCTCCTCAACCGTATCCAAGTCCTCTGGCCTGACCTGCCATATGGTAAATGCCCTTTGGGTTAGGAAAACAGGCCTGCTTTTCCTTTTCTTTTCTTCTAAAAAGATTTACTTTTTTGAAAGGCAGAATGACATTAAGAGGAAGAGGAGGACTGGAGAGAGGGAGAGGGGCAGAAAGGAGAGAAGGGACGCCTTCCCTCTGCCATCTCATTCCCCAAGTGGCCACAGTTGCCAGGGCTGGGCCGGGCAGAAGGCAGCAAGCACAGCTCCATCCTGGTCTCTCACAAGGTAACAAGGGCCGCAGTCTGTGGGCCATCGTTCGCTGCCTTCCCAGGTGCCTTAGCAGGAAGCTGGCCCAGAAGCACGGTAGCCAGGACTCCAACCAACACCGAGGTATTGGCTGCCAGTGATGCAAGTGTACGTTTAACCTGCAGTGCCACAGTGTGGGCCCCCGGGCTTCCTTGTATAAATCAAAGTCCATGGAGAACAGGCAGCAGATGGTAAGTAGACACGGAGCCTCAGGAAAGCAGGGACGGACTGGTGGCCTCCAGGTCAAGTGCTCACAAAGCTACCATGCAGGCCAAAGGAACCAGCAGACCAGCAGGTGAAAGCCCACGCCTGGGCCTGCTCTATGGTCTACCTAGGGCGAAAGACACAGAACACAGCTCCAGACAGCTGTCCTAAAGCCAGGGCGCGGCCTGCCAAACGGCCCCACGCTGTCTGTCCACCCACAGCCCAGCAAGCTTCTTACACGCTTCTGTTCAAAGCTGAATTCCATCCCAGTAAGCACTCAACTCTTAAAGTCATACTTTGTCCTTTCCTTGACATATGGACAGCCGCCCATACAGACTGTCCCAAGGGCCACTTCCTTCCACAGCACGTCCCAGTGGGGAGAGCCAGCACCATGCCGGCACACACCAACCACAGGGCTTCCTCTCTGGAAATTTAATTCCACTGAAATGAATGTGAGGGATTATTCCTTCTACAGTAAAGTGATGATGATAACTAAGATTGACTGTTCACTGTGTGTCAAACACTAGTTACTCCCATAAGTTTCATGACAATCTGCTAAAACGGACTCTTATTATTAAGTCCATTTTACAGTTGAGGTGACTGAGTCAGAGTAGGGAACTGGCCCGAGGTCACAGGCCAGAAAACAGCAGAGCTGGTCAGTGGCAGAGGAGGGCACAGAAAGGAAACACAGGGGGAGCTGCCATCCCCTGGCCGTCCACCTGGCAGACACTGGCTCAGCAATGCATGCTCAGGGCATGCCCATTGTTTATGCTCCCTGAACATGAACCCAGGAGGCAAATAAGAGGGCTGAAAAAAACGCTTATTGTGGAGTAGATGAGAAACAGTTTCCTATAAATAGAAAATGTTTTCCTGGGGCTGGCATGGTGGCTCAACAGACTAATCCTCCATTTCGTGCCAGGATCCTATATGGGCACAAGTTCATGTCCTGGCTGCTTCATTTCATATCTTGCCCCCTGCTTGTGGCCTGGGAAGACAGTTGAGGATGGCCCAAAGCCTTGAGGCCCTGCACCCGTATGGGAGACTTGCAGAGGAAGCTCCTGGCTCTTGGCTTTGGACTGGTTCAGCTCTGGCCATTGCAGTTACTTGGGGAGTGAACCAGAGAATGAAAGATCTTTCTGTATCTCCTTCTCTCTGTAAACCTGCCTTTCCAATCTGAAAACCAAATCCCAGGTATGAGGAAACCAAAGCATACACACAGGTAGCACGCAGAACGCAGCCACCGCGGCCCCATCAGTCCTCCCTGGTCACGTGCCTGGGAGCTCGCACAAAGTTCCCAAGGGCCTGGCGTGTGCCACAGGCTTTCTAATGAAACCTCCTTCCGCCCGAGAACCACCGTGGGACATGGGAGAGACCCTGCAGGCTGGCCCCGACCCTCCTGGGAGCTGCAGAGGCAGACATGCACCTGGCTGGATGGGCCACAGCAAAAGCTCGCCTCCATGGCTCCTTCAGTGGCTCCCGCCTTTAGCAATCACAGCCAAAGGCACAGAGCACGCACTGACGTGCAAGAGGTGCTGCCAGCAGAGCGGGCAGCAAGGGCACACAGGCAGGCATCAGAAGCATCCAGCATGCTGCCAGTCTGCAGAGCAGGAAAGCCAGGAACAGACAAAGCTAAACCCCACTCGTTCACTGCTCATGCCAGTGCTGCCTGGGCAAGGCGTCTGACGCCAACACAGAACGATCCTGTAATTAGTACAGAAGGAGAAGGAACAAGACCCAGCTATTCTCTGCATCCAGTCACTATAGGGACTGACTCACTGCAAGGCCAAGGCCAACCCTCCTCAGACTGGGCAACCAAAGGTCAGTGAGCTGGAGCCAGGCTGCTTGTGGGATGGCCTCTGGGTGACAGCATCCACAGAGTTCAAGTTCAGGGCCACAGTGCCTTGTGAAAGCCCTCAGAGGAAGCAAGCTGGTCATCACAAACGCAGACCGGCCTACTTAGAATCATTTCCATACAAAATTTTCACCAAAGTAACGGAAGTAAGCCATAAACACCTTAACCTAAAAACCAGAAATAAATAATAAACTCCAGAATTACAAACAACTGTCTTTTTCCTCAGTAAGCAATCTGCAATTCTATTTAAAGACAAAAAAGAGTACCAGGGTTTTTTTTTTTTTTTTGCCTAGTCAGTCCTTTTGGGGTAATTTCCTTTCTGTTCACAAAAGCAGTGCATGTTTCATTTCATACATTTTAGAAAATGAAGTCTAAAAGCCTAACGAGCAGTGGGCCTTGTGGCACAGCAAGTGAGACCACTGCTTGGGACAGTCGCACCGCATCTGAAGTGCTGGCGAACCAGTCCCGCCTCCACCTTGGCCTGAGACTCAGTTTGCTGCTAACACGCCCGGGGGGTCCCTGTCACCCACAGGGGAGACCCCAGTTGACCTCTCGCTCTGGCCCAACCTCAGCAGCATATTTGCATAGTGAATCAGCGAACAAACAAACTCTCTCTGTTGCTCTGGCTTCCAAGTGAAGTTGGATAAATAAACCTTAAAATGAAAAATCTAAGGAAACAATCAGGTCACTTAAATTCCTCCCCAACCTGGGGAATATTTATTCCTGATAGAAGAAACACCCTTGAGATGTGCACAAGGCCAAAGCCAGAACTGCTAAAAGAAGACAATTACTAGGTGCTCGTGTTCACCTTAGCAAACTTCTTGCACCACTGACAACTTCCGACTTAGCCAAATCCACAGATACAGTGCCAGTGGGAGGTTCGCTTTTGGCTTCATTAATTAACACGCCGACAATGACCGATCGCCCTGCCGCCACTCCTGCTGGAGAAAGCCAGAGGAGACGGCCACCAGCAGACTCACTCACCAGGCAGGTGGCCACTGCCAGCGCTTCCTCGTGCCGCCCAAGCCGAGCCAGACAGCGGGCCTGGCCTTCCCGGACATCCCTCTGCATGGCAAAGTTGGTCAACGACAATTTTTCCGCGATGCTGGAATACTCCTGCAGTGCTGCCTGCCAATTATTTGGAAAATACAAGCCATGAACGGAAGGGAAGAAAGGGAAGGTGGGCAGCACCCTTACCACCTGGGCCTCCTCTAACAGCATGCCCGCCAGGGAGGGTGGCACAGGATGGAGAACTGACCAGGCCCTGTCGCCCGCATCGCCACTACTATGCTGGGTCACCTTTCCGCCAGCAACTAATAAGACTATTCTGGTGAAGGGGAATGGACATCCATGAGGGCACTGCAGCAAATTCTGCGAGAAGTAGAATTAAAAGACAGGCTTATTTTGATGCAAAAACATTTTAAGTCCATGCAAGGATTTTGGTAAAACACATTTCCACAGGCTTTTTTGCAGCCCCTTCGCGTGTGTGGTTTCACAGCCTCTGCACCACAAGAAACTTATCTTTCCATTCCGTTCTCTGCAGACATTCCAAGTCCCTCACACATACAGCCATCAGTGAGTTCTTGGCTTTTTAGCTAGGGGCTTGGCTCCTGTCGCCACGAGGAGCCTGGGCGACTGGCAAGTAAAAGGAGGGGGCAGAGAGCCTGGGGAAAATAGACCTAAAGATCTCTGGTGGAGTTAGAAACCCATGGGGCCAGGAGCCACGCAGAAATGGGGGAACCTGGGAGTGCACAATGCTAACGGCCCGTCACCAAAGACAAAACCCGTCTTTGTAAGCAAGCCCTACCCAGCCAGTACGCTGCTGGCTGCTGCCACTGACAAGTCAGTGCACACACCAGCCCACCCACCCCTGCACCGTGAGCCCTACCTCATATTCTTGGCGGCGGTAGGCCAGGTCCCCTCGGAACTTCTTAGTACTCAGGGCCTCCACATCATCACTGCTCGCTGTTTCTTCGCAGAACCACTGGAGATTGTGAAAACGCCATGTTACAGAGTGAGGCTGAGTGAGCCCATCTCAAGCTCGGAAGCCGTGTCCTGCAGCATAACCAGCTAAGCCTCCAACAGAACACACCTCTCCAGGATAAGCCTCAGTGGGAAAATGTAAGAAACAGCAGAGACAGACAATTTCAAAGATGCCCAAGGGGTCAGCAATTATGGCACAGCAGGCCAGCTCCCCGATCATGTCCTGGGAGAGAAGCAGCCGAAGATGGCCCAAGTGTTTGGGCACCTGCCACCTTTGTGCCTGGCCCAGCCATGGCAACTGCAGCAGCCACTTAGATAGGAGACCACTGTACCCCTGCCCTTCTCTGCACCCCCATCTCCTTCTCTGACTTTCAAATAAATAAATAAATAAATCCCTTGGAAAAAAAAAAAAGAGGGCCTAGTTTTTATTAACACTGCCACAGCATATGGCAAGAACAGTATCTCTTTCACCTCTCTTAAAAAGCCACTCAGCAACGTACAGCTGCATCAGCAGCATTTCCAACAGGGGCTGTGGTGCCTGGCAGCTGCCACCTGGCCACTTCAGTTCACACTGGTTCATGCAAGTGAAGTATGTTTGCCAGTGGGGAAACTATGGAGAGAATGAAACAGCAAGGCACTAGGCCTTGTGGAAAGAATTACAAAGCGTTGTGCTACAATGAAAATGTTACAAAGAGAAAAAAAGAAAGGAAAAAGGGTACCAGAACCTAAGCAGAGATTTAGGTTGAACAGTATAACCAAGACTACAGGGATTAGGCAAAAAAGGAAGGGCAAGGGGCACAGCACAGGGGCAGAGAATTGGAAGGTCTCTGCTGGCTTAATTTTAGACACTCCAGAAACTCCTCTGACCACACTGTCCTGCCTAAGCACAACTAGGACAGCTGCAGCAGGCCCATGGGAGGCAGAGTCCTGAACATACCAAGCATGTGTGAAGACCTGATGGCCAGCAGGAAGGGCCCTCCCACTGCCCCTTCTCTGCAGCCTGCCCCTGCCCCTGATCCCTGTTACAGAAGGGAGCTACACCTTCCCACCATCTCCTTCACCTGCCACAGAAAGCTCAGAACTCCAGCTTAGAGTCCAGGATCTGCTGACATTCCAAACAAAGGAACCCCTGCAATCAAATATCAGACCAATAGAAGAAAAGTTGAAGGAAACAGTTCCATTTGCTTTTCTAACTTAAAAATATTTTGAGAGTTACGGACAGACTTGTAACACAAAGCCCACATTCCCATTCATCAGTTCACTCCCCAAAGGCCTGCCTGACTGGGGCTGGGACTGGGGCTGGGACTGGGGCTGGGACTGGGGCTGGGCTGGGGCTGGGGCTGGGGCTGGGACTGGGCTGGACTTGGGACTGGGCTGGGACTGGGGCTGGGCTGGGAATGAGGCTGGGACTGAGGCTGAGGCTGGGGCTGGGAATGAGGCTGGGACTGAGGCTGGACTGTGGCTGGGCTGGGGTTGGGACTGGGGCTGGGAATGAGGCTGGAGCTGGGGCTGGGACTGGGGCTGGGACTGAGGCTGAACCGGGGCTGGGACTGAAGCCGGGGCTAGGACTGGAGCCGGGGCTAGGACTGGGGCCGGGGCTGGGACTGGGGCCGGGACTGGGGCCGGGACTGAAGCCGGAGCCGGGGCTGGGGTTGGGACTGGGGCTGGGACCGAAGCCGGGGCTGGAACTAGGCTTGGAATAGGCTGGGACCGGGGCCAGACTGGGCCCAGGGCCAGCCAGAACAAGGAATTCAATCTGGGTCTCTAAGTGTGTGGTAGATGTCCAGCTGCTGGAGCCATCATCACTGCCCCCCAGGGTCTGCCCCGCCAGGAAGCTGGAAAGGGAAACCAAAGTGTAGGCACACCAGCCGGCTAGCACCTCACCCCAGGGACCAAACAAGCAGCTTTCTCCTGATTTAAACCAGGAAAGTGATGCTGAAACTCCTTGACTGTTAAGTAAACACTGAGGTTCTAGGGAAAGTGTTCTCGAGTGGTGGGTATCTCTGCACTGCGTAAAGCACCCGATGCTCACTTCACGCCCGGTCCCACACAAGGCGGCTGCAGGTGGGCCTCCCCCATTAAGCACCGTCCAGTCACAGCTGACTGTATTTGGGAGGGTCCCCCAGCACGCCAGTCACAGCTTCTGGGCACGAGCGTTCTGATGCACTGTCTGAGCCACCACAGGCGGCCCCATGTCCTCTATCCCAGTGAGCACATGGGGTCACCTGGCTAATTCTCTGCCTGCAAGCGCCAGCATTCTATATGTGCACTGGTTCAGGTCCTGGCTGCTCCACTTCCCATCCTGCTTCCTGCTTGTGGTCTGGGAAAGCAGTGGAGGACGCCCCAAAAGCCTTGGGACCCTGCACCTGCATAGGAGACCAGGAAAAGGCTCCAGGCTCCTGACTTCAGATTGCCTTAGCTCCAGCCATTGTGGCCACTTGGGGAGTGAACCAGCATACGGATGATATCTCTCTCTCTCTCTCTCTTCTCTTTATAACTCTGCCTTTCCAATAAAAATAAATAAACCATTAAAAATGAAAAGTAGGGCCCGGCGCGGTGGCGCAAGTGGTTAAGGTCCTCGCCTTGCACGCCTGGGATCCCATATGGGCGCTGGTTCTAATCCCGGCAGCCCCGCTTCCCTTCCAGCTCCCTGCCTGTGGCCCGGGAAAGCAGTCGAGGACGGCCCAAAGCTTTGGGAACCTGCACCCGCGTGGGAGACCCAGAAGAGTCTCCTGGCTTCGGATCGGCATAGCATCGGCTGTTGCGCTCACTTGGGGAGTGAATCATCGGACGGAAAATCTTCCTCTCTGTCTCTCCTCTCTGTATATCCGCCTTTCCAATGCAAAAATAATAAAAATAAATCTTTAAAAAAACCATGAAAAGTACAACTGCCTGGCCCTATTTCTCAAAGAATCACCTGAATATCCACACCCTCGTTATACTGGCAATGCCTGCTTCTCTCTCCGGCCCACGCATGACCTGGAGAAGGCTAGGAACCCCTTTTTCTGCTCTCCTTTTAAGTGCTTCACCCACACTGTCCTCCGTCACAGAATGCTTCAATCGGCCCGTCTTCACTTTAGTGGCGGCCACAACCCTAAAATCCTTAAGTGGCCATGAGCTTAATGGCTTTAAAATGACGGTTTCTGTCCTAAATAATCTGCAGGGCAGCAAAGAATTCACACAGGGGACGCCTCAAAATACCCCCTGAAGGACAGAAAAGTGTGGACACACTGAATGCCCGGCTCAGGCAAGCAGGCAGGGCCAGCACCCACCTTCTGAGCCAGGCTCCTGGGCGACGAACAGGCCTCAAGTCTGCTCTGGGTTAGCGTATGAGCAGGTTTCCATAATAACCTCTCAACAAATTGCCAAGCTAAAGGATTCTGCTTTACAAGGGCACGGCACCCCTGACAGGGTGCTTCTGTATACAGTATCTCCCGGAAGGATCAGCAACAACCCCTTGACCCAGCAAGCACTCTCTTCCCAAAGATAACCGACCCACCGACCCACCCAGGTCCTGGTGCCTAACCAGAACTTCCTCAGGCACCAGCACAAGCCTTCCCAGGCCCATCTGTGCCATGGGTCCCTGAAGGCGACTCTGACTGCCCAGCGTCAGGAAAAAACGAGGCAAATAAAACTTGTAGGAAGTGCCCGTGCCCAGCATCTCTTCAGTCCAATCCTTGTAGAGGGAAGAAATGCCAACAGCATGGGCAAGGCACACCAGCACAGCGGCCCCAGCATCTCGGCTGCGGGTGGGGAGGCAACACGCAGTAACCCTCCAACTCAGGGCCGTTCACGGAGCGCCGGCTCTCTCCGCACCTGTCAGGCCCCGCGGCGGCCATCGCGTGGACAGCCGGCGCTCCGGGGCTGGGCGGCAAACAGCAGCTGCACGTGGGAGGGGAGGAAGCACCAAGCTGATTGGAAGAGAGGACCAGGAGAGACTTCCTGGAGGTGGTGCATTTAGGATGCATCTAGCAGTGCCACGGAGGGGTCAGCGGCGGCAGCGGGGTTCGCCCGGCCTGCAGGGCGGGGACGGGCCGCTGGACCCGGGAAGGCGACCGACGCTTCCCGCAGTGCTCACCGCACGAGCTGACCCCGGGGCAGGCGGGCCGTGGGCGGCTCGGCCCGGCCTCTCACCTGCGGCTCGCAGCGCTTAGCGCGGTAGGGCGCGGGCGGCCCGAGCCTCCGCTCCGGTCTCTCTTCGAACACTGAATCCTCGAACTCGCCGCCGAACAACCAGCAACCGGACTCCATCTGCCGCAGTCGACCCGCCGGACACCAAGAAGCGGCCACGCCCACGTGCGGACCGAGCGGAAGGGGCGGTGCCGCCGCTGGAACGCGGCATGCCGGGAGCTGTAGTCTTTGGGAAGGGCCCGCGAGCTGTGCGCCCGCCGCTGTCTGGGAGTGCAGGTTGAGCGGAGGATTATTCCCACTGGCGAATTGACAGGATCCTAGCCTAAGGGTTTGACTTCCGTGTGCCCGGAAACGGACAGAGCCGTCCAATGACAATTTCCTTGCATTGTGTTAAGTGCTGTTTTTGCCTGTTTTGTCTTCTAACAACTGTGTGAAAGGCACAGTCAGTCGCATTTTGCAAATATTGGGGCTGGAAAACGTTAAGTGCCTTGCTCAGGACCGATTATTACTGGGCTCAGAACCAGGGAATCCAGAAATGACTCGGTGTCCCCATGTGTCTGGAGAAGTGCCACCATCACCAATACCAAAGACCAGGATCAGGCAGGCATTTAACAAAACCCAAAGTGCAGAAATGTTCTCTGGGGACGCCGGTTGGAGTGAAACACCAAGCCCAAAATTCCAAGACTAGCCTCTCCTAGCATTCCTACGCCTTCAGGGCGGCGCTTTTCTTTGGAAACTGGACGTTGTTCAGCACTGGCCAGCACTGCCGCTCGGCCACGTCCCGTATCAGCGACTCAACGTGGAGGTTCACGCAGCTGGCCTCTCTCCCCCAGGGCCTCCACCACCATGTGTCTCTTAAGTTTTTTCTTTCAACCCAATTTTCTACTCCACCATCTCACCCTAAGGGGAACTTGATTTATTCCCCTTTGGATTCCAAACCCATCTCTGTGCTCACTACCCCTGGAATCCGAACAGCTCCAGCTGTCCAGCTGTCCAGTTGTCCAGTTGTCCAGTTGTCCAGCCCCTTCGTGTGCAGGCTCCAGGCGTTCGGTCTCCAGGCTTCAGCTACAGAAATTATCACGAGCTTTTGCGCAAACATCCAATTGTTTCGTTTTTACTTCATGGTTAAAAGAAAGATTACAAACACAATTCTAAAAAACATTTTACTTTAGAGAAAACATTCTCAGCAAAGCATTACTCATTGAAACCTGCAGTCAGCGGGCTGAAGCCAGGAACTCCACGGTTGGCAGCGCATCTGCTTACATAGTGACAGGTGAGTTCCTTAAATCTAAAATCAATTTTTACTAAACTTAAACTAATATTATGTAAAAATCAAGAATGCAAAATTAGCAAGAAAGCTTATAAATGAAAGGCATTTAGAAAGGCACATATCATAAATTCTTATTAAATCTTACAGTCAATCATACACTAACTACCATCACCTTCACCTCGTACTGATTCAATTGCTTTTTGTTCTTTTGTTAAAGGGCAATGGGAAGGATCAGAGCAGCTCGACCTTTCTATGAATGGAAAGCCTTCACAAGAAACTTCTTTTCATCTTTTCAAACTACTTTCTTTCCCTAAATATAAGTGCCAATATAAGCTAGAAGTTCCAAACCATTTTCCTCAGTGGGCGCACATTTCAGGGGCTCATCTCCCTCTTAAAAGATGTCCTGTGTTCTTTGCTTTACGTGGTGGGAAGCCAAAATGTGTCATTCCATGAAATGCAGCAGTTTGAGGCTACACAGTAAATAAACTCTTTGTACCTCCATAATTGTCATATGGTTCTAAGATATTATCAAGCCATTTCTTAAGGAGAACATTATACGTCTTAGAGTAAATTCTAGGACAAAGGTGGGCACACAGAAGACATTTGGGAACAGTGTGGGCTCAGTTGTACTACTGCATGCTTTTAGCTGTAACTAATTGTCTTGAGTTACTGAAAACCCTTTTACCATAAAATGATTGATAGGGGCCTGGTGCAGTGGCCTATGAGGCTAAAGTCCTCGCCTTGAACACCCCGGGATCCCATATGGGCACCAGTTCTAATCCTGGCAGCCCTATTTCCCATCCGGCTCCCTGCTTGTAGTCTGGGAAAGCAGTAGAGGATGGCCCAAAGCCCTAGGACCCTGCACCTGCATGGGAGACCTGGAAGAGCTCTTGGTTCCTGGCTTCAGATTGGCGCAGCACTGGCCGTTACGGTCACTTGGGGAGTGAATCATCGGGCAGAAGATCTTCCTCTCTGTCTCTCCTTCTCTCTGTGTATCTGACTTTGCAATAAAAATGAATAAATCTTTTTAAAATGATTGATAAAATCAGTTTCAGACATTATACCAGTTTCAGAAATCACTTCATATTTGCAGAGAAAACAACAACATCCTCAAGAGAATTCCAAGAAATATCAAATGATTGAGTGTCCACACAATGGGGTGAGGCAGCAAGGAAGTGATTATAGAGGTGGAGCCGGTAACTCCTTGTGGCCGTGCCAACAGGGGAGCAGTTCTTCTTACACCTTTGCATGGTTTCCCACACTAATTCACTGTCCAAATACAAAAGCTGGGAATGGGCCAAGACCAAAGCTAGGAGCCTGGAACTCATTCTGGGTCTCCCACATGGATTCTAAGTTCTTGAGCCATCACCTGTTCCTCTTCCCGTCCCAGGAAACCAGAATCAGAGTCAGAACTGAGGCATTCAAATGTCGGATGCAGGTAGGGATCCCAGGCAGCATTTAACATGGCACCAATTCCCTGCCCTAAAGCACCCACCTTTTTAAGATTTTAATATTTGTGTTTACATAGTTGATCAGGGTGGGAAGGGTCAAGGATCAGGGGATAGCGGGTGAGACCCTTGTTTACACATTTTCTTCTTCTTCTTCCCATGTTTGGGGGAGATGAGGTTACAAGAGGAGAAACCATGCCGAGCGTCCCAAACACCGCATTCCCTGGGGGATGGGGAACTGCCACCCAATGTCAGCTCAGTGTTTGGGCCATCCTCCACTGCTTTCCCAGGTGAGAAACAGAGAGCTGGATGGAAAGTGGAGCAGTTGGGACACGAGCCAGCAGCTATATGAGGTCCCAATGCTTCCAGGCAATGGATTAACCAATTCAGCCATTAAATTGGCCCAATTCAAATCCTCTTTTCAGAATGCAGGATACAACAGTAAATTCAGACAGACTCATATCCTTGCTGTCACGGAATTTAAGCTGTACTAGGAAAGGAATAAACTTGTCCATGTTCTTGGTGTGCGACCTTGGTCCTTTACTTCACTGGGAGCAGAACAGATCTCATTCTCATAAGATATCATGTAAATATTTCATAATTTACATATTATTAAAATGTCTATTTGATGGCTGTCTAAAGGACTGACACAAAAGGTTACATCTCTGACTTGCCCAGCTTGGATCAAGGAGCAAAGAGCACTGCTCAACACTGCTGCAAAAAGAACACGCAACCTGCGCACGCCTGAGCTGCATCAGTGAGACATACAATACAATAGGTTACGAAGGCTGGAAGGTAACCTTAGGGGGGAGAATTCTTTGATAAATTAGGATGGGTAAAAATAGCATTGTGTATGGAAGAATTTATAATGTCATGATGGCATGATGTAAAATCACACACACAAAACAGTTTTAGAAGACCCTAAGCTTTCCCTTTAAGACAACTGCTAGGACACCACAACACAGAGCCAATGGAGAAGGGAGATGTGCGCTGCTATTCGTTTTCCCAACATAGTGCTAAAAGGTCTATCTAAAGCGATGAGGCAGGAAAACAGACACATCCAAACTGGAAAGCGTATCTATTTATAGGTGACATGATGCAATGGACAGAAAAACCCCAAAGAACTCACAAGAAAGCTCGAGATGGGTCCAGTGCAGTAACCTAGCAGCTAACATCCTCACCTTGAACGTGCTGGAATCCCATATGAGCGCCAGTTCTAATCCTGGCAGCCCCACATCTCATCCAGCTCCCTGCCTGTGGCCTGGGAAAGCAGTTGAGGACGGCCCAAGGCCTTGGGATCCGCACCCACGTGGGAAACTCGGAAGAGTTTCCTGGCTTCTGGCTTCGGATCAGCTCAGCTCTGTCCATTGCACTGACTTGGGGAGTGAATCAATGAATGGAAGATCTTCCTCTCTGTCTCTCCTCCTCTCTGTATATCTGATTTTCCAATAAAAAAATACATCTTTAAACATATATATATATATTGCAATACACCCGGAACTTGGATTTGGTCATGGGTTCTTAGATCTGATACCAAAAGCTCAAACAATAAAATAGAGAAATACAGAACCCTTTTGCACAACAAAGCATATTGTCACAAAAGTGAAAGTACAACCCACGCAACAGGAAAAATAGAGCCCGTTCTCACTATTCACAGTAATTGTGTTCTAAAATGCAGCTGCAAACACTGAATTAGCACGTTGAACAAAGGTTTCTCAAGTTAAGGATCTAGGAGTCTGGGTCTGGTCACTCTATTTTCATCAATAGATCAAAACATAACATTGTTTTACATGAATTCATAACATTAAACTGATGGCCAACAGTACTAGAAAGCATATCTTTAATGACATTTTAAAAAATATTTTATTTATTATTTTTATTGGAAAGGCAGATATACAGAGAGGAGAGATAAAGGAAGATCTTCCATTCATTAATTCACTCCCCAAGTGGCCACAATGGCCAGAGCTGAGCCGATTCGAAGCCAAGAGCTAGCAACCTCTTCTGGGTTTCCCACGCAGGTGCAGGATCCCAAGGCTTTGGGCGGTCCTCGACTGCTTTCCTAGGCAACAAGCAGGGAGCTGGATGGGACGTCGGACTGCCAGGATTAGAACTGGCGCTCATATGGGATCCTGGCACATCCAAGGCAAGGACCTCAGCTGCTTGGCTATTATGCCGGGCCCAGACTTTGGTTAAAAAAAAAAAAAGTTTATTTTTATTGGAAAGGCAGATTTACAGAGAAGAGAGACGAAGATGACAAACAAGATCTCCCACCCTCTGCTTCACTCAAGCAATGGCTGGAGCTGCACCAATCCAAAGCCAGGATCCAGGAACTTCTTCCTGCCCTACTGCATGGGTGCAGGATCCCAGGGCTTGGGGCCGTCCTCTGCTGCTTTCACAGGCCACAAGCAGGGAGCTGGATGGGAAGTGGAGCAGCTGCAGCACACAGTCAGCACACATATGGGCTCCCTGTGTGCGACGTGAGGATTTAGCCACCGAGCCATTGCATGAGGCCCCCAGTGACATTTATCTAACAAGTACTACCTTCATAGTGCACAGGACAATCTTGGATGATGGCAGGAAGGGGGTGTGGCACAGCAAGTGAAGCAGGAACTTGAGATAACCGCATTCCAGGATCAGGATTCTAGCTTGAGTCCTGACTACTCCACTTCTTACCAGGTTCCCTGCTAATGTTCCTGGGAGAGCAGCAGGGGATGGCTCAAGTGCCTGGGTCCCTCACTCACACAGGAAACTTGAAGTTCCGTGTTTCTGGCCTTGACCCCACCCAGTCCTGGCTATTGTATTTGGGGAATGAAACAGCAGATGCAAGATCTCTGTCTCTCCCTCTATCACTGAGTCTTTTAATAAACACACAGTTTTATAAAGAAAATTCTATAGGTATTCATTTTGCAGCCACACATTCCAATTAATATGCAAATTTGCATATACAGATTCAGTGAATATTGAAAATTGACTACATTTGCAAACTATATATCTGGTGAAGCAGTAATATCCAGCATATATGAAGAACTCTTAAAATTTAACTAAAATCTGGGCAAAGGGACTGGCACTACAGGGCATCAATTTAAGCTGCTTTCTCCAAGGCCAGCTCCCATATGAGTGCCTGTTTCAGTCCTGACTGCTCCTCTTCAAAATCTGGTTCCTGTTACTAGGCCTGGGAAGGCAGTGGAAGCCCCTGCCACCCGTGCAGGAGACCCTGGTGCAGTTCTAGACTCCTGGCTTCAGTTTAGCTGGGCTCCAGCCTTTGGCAAATGAACCAGTGGATCTCTCTGTGTGTCTCCACCTCTCCAAGCAACTCTTTCCAAAATATGAAACAAATCTTAAAAGAAAAAAAAAAAGGTAAAGTACTTGAACAGACATTCCTCCAAAGCAGACGTAAAAACGGTCAATAGTCACATGAAAAGATATAGGTTTTTTTTTTTTTTTAAGATTTACTTGACTTGAAAATTAGAGTTACACAGAGAGAGTGAAAGACAGAGGGCTCTTCCATCCTTTGGTTCACTCCCTAAATGGCTGCAAAATCCAGGGCTGGGTGAGTCTGCAGGTGGCAGTCAGGAGCTTCCTCTGTGTCTTCCACTTGGGAGCAGGGATGAAGGCTTTGGGACATCCTTCGCTGTTTTCCCAAAGCATCAGCAAGCAGCGGGATTAGAGCTAGAGCAGCCTGGACTAGAACCAGTATCACAGGCTCCTCAAAAAGATTTTTGCTTTGATTTGCATTTCCTTAGTGATTAATGTCTTTATACTATGTGAATTACATCATAATTTTCTTAAAATAAAAGGAGTTGGCAAGGATGTGGAGAAACCTAGATCCTGCTTGTGGAATGCATAAGGTACGGAGGCCGAGCCCCATGGAAGTTTGGTGGTTCCTTCAGAAGATCAACACAGAATGACTACGACTCAGTAATTCCACCCCTAGCTATACACTGGAATGAACTAAAAATAAGGACTCAGGTTTCCATACCAGCATTCACTGCAGCATTATTCACAATAGGCAAAAAGTAGAAAACCCAAGTTCCCATTGACAAATGAATACACAAAATGTGGCCCACGAGCACACAATAAATGAGACATCAAAGGAAAACAGTAAAATAAATGAGACATCGAAGGAAAAACACTGGTGTTTCCCCTTATTTGCAACTGTCCACTCCAAAGAGTCAGGAAATAGAGCAGAGGTTACCAGGCCTAGGCTTGGGGGATGCACAATTATTGTTTACTGGTTATAAGTTTCTGCTTGGGGCAATGAAAAAATTTTGGAAATAGGGTGATAATTGTATAATACTGTGAATATAATTAATGCTGCTGAATTATACATTTTAAATGGCCATAAAGCCAAGCTATGTTTTTATATACAAGTATATATATATAACATACAGGACCAGAATTTTAGAAAATTGATCCAGTTAATGGGGAAAAAAAATCACTGAAAACCCTAATCACTGCTATCTTTTATTTTGTATAAAAGGACACAATCAATAGAGAAGGATCTTTTGCCTGTCAAATAAATATGTTTGAAAGCTAACAAACATCAGAGTAGAATTTTATAAAACCTACCAAAAATGGAAAAATTGATTAATGGTTATTTACACTTATATGGAGACGACAGATTAAAAGGAAACCATAAGATATTTAAAGGTATCACTTCCAATACTTGACATTTTGAATTTTAAAAACATGAAAATTGCTGTAAAACAAAACTCAGACCACATTACTAATGGTTTAGAAAAGGGAGCAATTTAATCAGTATAATACAGAGTGCTTTAAGAAGTCTTTAAATGTGTAAAAGAAAAACAGCTTAGTGCATTCAATTATTACAGTCTTTACATTGTCTCTTCTTTTTATTAAAAAGTTAACAGTAGTATGAAAAAAGCCACCCACCAAGCCAGCTGTTTGAGTGAAGAACTCAGCTAAACTGCAGCATTTCGGAATTACTAATAAAGCTATAGTTAAAAGTAAAAAGTTTATCAAAATGAAAGCAGCATGCATACTCAAGGCTTTTTTTTGTAACATTTTAATTAGCTGACAAACATTTAACCAAGAGCTGAATATTTATTATTAATTAAATTAGATTATATAAACTGGCCAAGCCTACTACATTTGATCATTCAGAAAAAAACATTTTAAAAGCCAGAGCTAATTAAGCTGATCATTTCTTCTGTGAAGAAAGTACATTTTGCAAAATGGTCCTATGATCACGAAACAGAGGTCCTTCTCAATATGAATGAACAGCACCGGTCTTGGCAGAATTTCTCAATGAGCCTGAACCTTCAGTCTCCTGATTCAGTGACAGTTAACGGCTAACATTCCCACGATTCAAAGCATCAAGCTAACTTAACTCATTATGACCAGTTCAGAATTTGTTCTCAGACATTATTATGCAAAGCAGAATTTCATAAAGACATCATTCTTGGAATTTTTGAATTGACACCTGTATGCATACTTCTGCTTTCCATATGATTGTAAGGAAATCACGTATTTACTATATGATTATTTCTTCACATTTTTGGTACAATACTCATTTCAGAGTTTCACCCTATCCAAATTCTTACGCCAGTTTCCTTTCATTCTTCGACATTATCTTCAGTTTAATAAAAAGCAATTCAGCTTCTAATGAAAAAAGTAAAAGAAGTATTACAAATAGAAATAGTGGTATCCATGAATGTGTTTCATGAAAGATCCAATCATCAAGGGCCAATGAGCTCCCCAAATCTTACTGTTTCAATATATTTAAATAGGTTGTTCTTAGACTTTAAGTTGTATAAGCCCATGCACAATTTCTAATCCCAGTGCAGGGCCTGATAAATAAGAGACACAGAAATAAATCATAATTCAATTCTTCCCCCCCCCCCCCATTTCTAGCAACTTTTACTCCATAAAACGTTTGGTCACTCAAAGCTGCAAGGTTAATTACATATCAAAGACATATCCAGGCAACAAAGCCCATCTTACCAGACACACAGTAGTAAGCTGGACCAAGTAGGAGGACAAGCTCCAGTGGTCATGAAACCCCTCAGAAAGTCTTAGATTTAGAATGTCTCCATTGTATCAGAATAAAAATGTATTAAAACTTGACTTTTTTTTTTTACAAGTTTTTTAATTAGTGTTCTATTTACATTGCAGAACTTCCGCCAACTGCAGTAGTTTAACTTTGGCACAAGGTTAAGTTCCATTACTTTTGGATATTGGATCCTGTGTTTTGAGAATCTGTATGTCCCAAAACGTTTTCAGTGTCATCAAAGACTTAGCCCATTCACAGTTAATCAGACATCTTGAGCTGAAGAATTGATTCTCCTTCAATGTTTTAGGCAGCTATAAAAGAAAAACATTATAAAAAAAACACACAGAAAAAGTAAAGAAAACTTCAGTTTTACTATGTGTAGACACAAGAAGATACCAGTCAGCCATGTGAACAGCCTCTGTGCGCTAACACTGAGGGTCACTCACCCTGTGCACCACTCATGGACACATGTCCTGCATATGCCAGGCTTGCTGACAGACACAACCATCACATAGTCACTCAGCTCAACGTTATTAGCACAAAGCTTATATTTCATTGTCAGTGTTTATACTAAACAGCCTATGAAATCTAATATTTTCATTTCTTTTTTCTCTCCTTTTTTCTCTAACATACAAGACCAACATGTGCAAAAGATACACATGCACCTCACTTTCTGCAACAACAATATTGGGAAGATCCCTGCAACTTCTAAAAAAAAATTCAATCATTTAAATGAAATAACATAAGAGCAAGTCTATGATAAATTCTCTTAAAGTGAAAAATTATCTTATTAGGTCAATAGGGTTTTTACCTTCTTTTAAATAAAGTGTTTAATAATTTTAGACTCTGTATATTCTAAAAGCAAGGCATGGGGTCTGGCAGCATGTTAAGCTGCCTCTTGCAAAGCCAGCATCCTATTTCAGAGTACCCATTAGCATCCCTCGGATCCGGTCGATGTGCCTGGAAAGGCAGTGGAAGATGGACCGAGTGCTAGCAGTCCTGCCACTCACAGTGGAGCTCCAGGCCTGGGTGTGGCTGCTGTGCCATCTGGGAAGCGAATCCACAGAGGGATGAGCTCTCTCTCTGTTGTTCTCTTTCAAATATATAAATCTGCTGAAAGCAGCGCATACCTGTATATGTACCATAAAAGTAATACACATCACAAATTTGCCAGGTTTTTGAAAACCAGCTTTATGTGAATTTGATGATAATTAGTTTCCATTATGGTGTTAACATGTAACATAAGAATTAACCATACAAAGTTATGCTAAACCAAATCATACCCCCCAAAAAATCAATTTTCAGAAGATTGTAACTTCCCAGAAAATCACTGGAGCAACTAATGTGTTGGTTTCATCTGGGCTGAATGTGCATTCTAGTTTAGCAATAACAGAAAGTGCCTGTTAAAAAATATTTTATGCATCTAGGTCAGAAGAAAGCCTGAAGACTGACAGTGGGAAGAGGAGGGCTGCACTTCAGGATAAAACTTTTTATGATTTGACTTTTTTTATGATTTAACTACAGACCTAGAAAATGATTTGCACCACTTATTAAAATAGCTTGGCTTTTTAATTTCATCTGTTTCTCTGCCTTAAAAATGTTAATAAAAACAAACCCTGAAAGAGGACTGCTAAGCAGTAAGAACAGTGCCTGGCATATATTAAACTCTATAAATGTTAAAATAAATAAAATCAGGGACAAGACACGGGGAAATGGAGGAACTACTGCAGAGATAAGAGCGTATACAAGTCCAGGATGAGGAGCCGTGCTCCTGCCTGGCGCTAAGGCTCCGTGCCTCGTCCCCCCACGGCTGGAAAACGCTTTGCAGCAGTCCTGGGTAGTGACATGTTCTTTGGAGCACTGTCAGATACACACACACACATTTCACAACCATTGCATTCTCTTCAAAAGAGTGGATCTCTATCCTGGAATATTCCAAACCATTTAGAAAAAGACAAAACATAGCTATTATATTCCAGAAGTACTACTAATTTAGGTTTTGATTCCAACACAGAAAATTTCAACTAAACTGGAATTTTAATCAATTTCATCTACAAAATCATTAGGATCTGAGGACTATGCAAAATCTTTTAAACTTAAACCACAGATATTTGTACTTTTAAGACTAAAGAGATACATTTTTAGCCAGTGGTAGTACTAGTAATGGGTTTGTTTTATATCACAAAAAAAAGGCTGTTATTATAGGAAATTTTAGTTTATTTAACACCACATCTGCCATGTGCCTTTTAATCTCTAAGACAGGAGTAATTTATATCACAGTTGCCACAATGGATGCCACCTAAGAAAACATGAATTTATACAGATCTTTGGCTTTTAATAGAAAAAAATTGAATAATTTAATACATAAAGCATTTTAAGTTCAAGGGAAAAAAATTACTAAAATCTTGGTAGCAAAACAGTGGAAAGAGAGATTCATTTTCACCTCGTTTCCTAAAACTGTGTCTTTCCTTTGATATACTTCGTTTCTTTTTAGTTTTTGTTTTTGAATTCTTAGACAAAAAGGAGCTGTAGTGAAGGAGGGTGGCGAGAAACCTGTTAGCTTTAGTATTTGTAAATCCCACCTCGTCCCAGTCTCCTTCCTTCAATCATGAGCAACTCTGTCTTAAAACAACGTAAAACACGCCTCATCTGAAAAAATAAATACTCAAAGCAATATCAAACTACACAGAGAGTAGAACAATCAAATTATACATGACAATCTTCCTTGGCCTCTCTAGCGGAACCTCGTTCACTTATTAGGACAAAGGACAACTATTTTAGAAAAAAAATGATCAAACTAGAGCTAGCTGCTACTGCACGATGACTGCTCCCAACGGAGGTGGCTGGCAGACACAACGCGCTCGGATGAAAGCACTTACATTTCAGTCATCTGACTTAGAAAGCTTCCGCTTCACGTGCCGGGGAGGCTCCCACGTGTCACTGTCATCCGTTTCTTCTTCATCCTCCAGATCCTGATCCTCCGCAGCTTCCTCCTCCTCCTCATTTTCCTCAAATAACTCCATTCCTAACTCTGATCTTCTCTGCCTTTCTGCAAACCACTCTCGGACCTGCTCGTAGCCCATGTGCGACCTGTTAACCAGCTCGTCCAGGTCTTGTTCATTCAGAAATTTGTGCTTCAGGTAATAATCCTTAAGTATTGCGGTTCCAGTTTTAAATTTTATAAGTGACGGTCCCCTGTCCCAGTTGTTCATCCTCTTGCCTCCTCTGGGCCGCCCTCGGGGTCTTCCTCGTCCCCGTCCTTTGGGCCTCCCCCGCCCCCTTTTCCGAAGGGAAGACAGGCCATTCAAAGCGCTGGAGTTGGAGCTTTGATAGTAGTAGTACCATTTCAGATTTCCGTTTTTCCAAGCATAGCGGGTGTCTCCAAACCAGCTAACGATGTCCGTTCTAGCAAGTCCACTTTCTTCCGCCAACTTGTCATACTCCTCGGCCGAGGGCCACTGCGTCCGGACAAACGCGCTTTTCAGCAAGTGCAACTGCTCAGGCGTTTTCTTACATATCTTGCCTGTACCCCCTGACTTCGGGGCAACGGACTCGTCTCCAGGAGAAGTTTCTCCGGCTTCTTCTTTGGAACTGCCCACATTGTTTTCTTCAACTTCTACCTTCTCTTCCTTTAAAGCTTTTGATTTCTTCCTCTCTGTAAACCACGCGTCGATTTCTCTTCTCGTTAGCTTGGTTTGCGCTCGCAGCCTGTTTAATTCTTCATCTGTCAGTATGGAGCTGTTGAGAAAACTTGCCTGGAGGACACGAAGCTGCTCTGCAGTTTTCTCCTTAAACTTCTGGGGTGTGAAGTCAGGAAAAGGATTCCAGGACTGCTTCTGCTGTGAGGTGGCGACGGTGGGTGACTCTGTGGTTTCATCGCTCGAGTCTATAATGATGGTGGTGGTGGAGGCATCGCTGTTGAGATGCAAGGTCTGGTTACTCTTGGAATTCCTCTGGTTGTACCTGGTGTCGCTAAACCATTTTTTAATCTCTCCTTTCGTTAGGCCTGTTATTTTCATCAGTCTGCTGATTTCTGAGTCATGGGGAAACTGATTTTTCAGGTAGCTAACTTTTAATTCTGCTAACTGTTCCTTTGTTTTTTTGGCCCGAATGCCAAATGAATCAGGGTTGACCAAGGCAGTCTCCTGTTTGGGATTTTGCGAAGTGGGAACTGCTGCTGCTGCAGGCTTTGTTTCTGCAGCAGGCGGAGCGGCGGGCACCTGACTTTTCTGTACATTCGTTTGATTTGGAACCCCGGCCACCGTCAAGGCTATTGGTGCTGTGACAGGCAAAGTATTTGTTCCGGCCACTTGGGTAAGAACCAGGCCTGGCTGACCAACTATCTGGCATGTCTGTAAGATAGATGGCAAGCCGTTACTCCCCGTGGAAATGTGGGCAGGAATGACAGTTATGGTCTGAGGGACAGTGTGCACTGTCCCATTGAACTGCTTTCTTCTTGCCTCCTCCACTTCCTCAGGAGTCCAACTAACACCATGTTTTAGACGCTGTGCTGAAAACCATATCTTGATCTGTTCCTCTGTGTATTTTGCTTGAGCAGAGAGAACTGTAATTTCTGACATTGTCGGATAAGGGAATTTGTTGTAGGTGTTCAGCAAGAGGGGATTGTTGTCCAATGCAGCATGGTAGGTGGGGATGCTATTCACAGGGATTAAGACTTTGGGAATCAGGTTAGAATTCTGCTGAGCAGACACTGCAGTGATCACCTGCGCTAACCCAGGCAGAACTGCTGCCGGGGTCACCACGGTGCTGGCGGTACTCGGGTGCACTCTGTTCACAACCGAAGTACTGGTGTTAGATTCAGACGCTGAAGAGCTTGGATTTTCCTCAACTTCTTCACGGTCCGGCTTGACTTCATTCTCTTTCTCTTCGGGAGTGCCCTCAGCCGAATCGTGATGGACTGCAATTCGCTTGCTCTCCACCTTATTTTTCATCATTTTCATGATGGGAGTTTTACTGATAGATATGCCCGAAGAAGAAACCTCTGTAGATTCTGCTTGTTCCGCATTCTCCTCTTTCACAAAACTACCATCAAAAGTCAGATCATTTATTGTTTGCTCAAAGATTGTCTGGTTGTTACGTTTCACCATAGTCAACTTAAAATTATCTTCTCCAGGGTGATATTTCAGATTATGCTCAGAAAGTGCATCATACCTTTTGGTAAGGAAATTGCATTCAACACAAACATAGGATGAATTTAGCACTACATTGGGATGCTCTGAATCCACATGGAAAGTAAACATATTTAGGTCTGGAGTTTGAAAAGTACAATATTTACATTCATAGCCGCCTTCCACTTTCTTACTTTGCTGATTGTCAGAATCTGCAGATTCATGGACTTCTTCCTCACTTGAGATGCTCTCTGCTCTGGTGTTTTCTATAGGTGTGAGGACAGGGGGGCCGTCATCCACATCTGAGGTCAGTCCAAGGTCAGGATCCTGTTCACTGGCAAGGACCATGCACGGTGTTGTAGACTTTCGCCTGCTTGCCATCCTGATGATGGGGGAATCTCAGTGGTGATTCAGAAGCATTGAGGCCTGGAACTATTCAGTATTCTTCATTTGAAAACAATGACTTTTGGTTCTTCAAGTCCATTTTTGCGCTCAACAAGACTCAATAGCAGCGTTTTCATGGTGCAATCAAGTAAACAGTATATTATTGGAAGAAAAAATACTGCTGGACTGTTGAAATTTTTGACGCACAAGTCCAATCACCTAATTAAAATAAATATAAAGATGTTTTCAAATCAATAACTATGATCACATCAACAAGCTACAGTTGTGTCTCGCTTAATGAAGTTGCTTAATAGGCAGGCTAGAAAGTGTAGAATATGAAAAGAATCGGATAAAAGTCTTTATTATATTGTATCCCATTGTTTCAAACACTTTTTTAGTAACAGCTTTATTGAGAGTGTCTTACCTCATTAAAAATTTAAGTCCCTGAAATTTGTATCTTCAACCTAAAGCTCTCACAGTTGAGTTATTTCGGTTAACATCTTATTTATGTCTGCATTTCCACTACCCTCAATTAGATAAAATTAAATGTTTATTCAGTCAAACTAGAATGAATTGGAAAATAGTCTTAGAAAACTCAATAGGGTTAGAGGGCACTACCAAAGAAATCAATAGCTTAAACTTATAATAAAAATAATTTTTGTTTTCATTTGAAAGCAGAGAGAGGGGCCTGACATAATGGCTCAATGGACTAATCCTCTGCCTGCAAGCACAGGGATCCCATAAGGTGCCAGTTCATGTCCCAGCTTCTCCACTTTCCATCCAGTTCCCTGCCTGTGGCCTGGGAAAGCAGTAGAGGATGGCTCAAAGCCTTGGGCCCCTGTACCTGTGTGGGAGACCTGAAAGAACCTACTGGCTCCTGGCTTCGACTGGTTCAGCTCCAGGCATTGCGGCCACTTGGGGAGTAAACCAGCAGATGGAAGATCTTTCTCTTTGTATTTCCTCCTCTCTGTAAACCTGTCTTTCCAATAAAATATAAATAAGTTTTAAAAAGAAAGCCACAGAGAGTTCGAGAGACAGATCTTTCATCTGCTGGTTCACTCCAATTACTAACAATAGCAAGGCTAGGTTAGCACAGAGTCCGGAAACCTTAACTCAGTCTAAATCTCCCACATGAGTGGTAGGAATCCAATTACTTGAGTCATCCGTCACTGCCTTCCCAAACACATTAGCAGAGAGTTGGACTGGAAAGTAGAACAAATAGGACTGGAACCAGCACTTGTTTGAAGTGGCAGGTTAGCCCAATCACGCTGACCTTGTATCATCAGGAAAACATGGATTAGGAATGGATGTTTGGTGTGACGCCTCAAGTGTCTCCTGGGATGTCCACAGCCCACACTAGCATGCCGGGTTCAAGTGGCAGCTCTCCTCCTTACTCCAGCTTCCACCTTGGAGACCACAGGTATCAGTTCAAGTCACTGGCTCCCTGCCACCCACACAAGACACCCAGATTGAATCCCTAGCTGCTGATAAGCCGCATTTTAAAAAATGATTTATTTTTATTGCAAAGGCAGGTCTACAGAGAAAAGGAGAGACAGACAGAAAGATATTTCATCTGCTGGTTCACTCCCCAAGTGGCTACAACAGTCAGAGCTGAGCCAATCTGCAGGCAGGAGCCAGGAGCTTCCTCTGGGTCTCCCACGCAGGTGCAGGGTCCCAAGGCTTTGGGTCATCCTCCATTGCTTCCCCAGGCCACAGACAGGGAGCTAGATGAGAAGAAGCACAACCAGGACAAGATTCAGCTCCCACATGGGATCCTGGCACTTGTAAGGTAAGGATTAACCACTGAGTCATCAGGCCAGGCCCTGTAATAAACCACTTTTAAGTTCTCCATTATCTTGTTAGCAAAACCATGGTCAGTTTTTAAAAATATATACTTAAAAGGAAACAGGACAATTCCCACAAGAGCTTCAAGATATGGTCCGGACTGGTGTGATGGCCTAGCAGCCAAAGTCCTTGCCTTAAACGTGCTAGGATCCCATATGGGCGCCAGTTCTAATCCCAATAGCCCCGCTTCCCATCCAGCTCCCTGCCTGTGGCCTGGGAAGGCAGTCGGGGATGGCCGAAAGCCTTGGGACCCTGCACCTGTGTGGGAGACCTGGAGGAAGTTCCAGGCTCCTGGCTTCGAATCAGCAGAGCACCAGTCACTGCACTGACTTGGGGATGGAAGATCTTCCTCTCTGTCTCTCTGTCTCTCTGCCTCTCTGTATATATGACTTTGCAATAAAAGTAACTAAATTTTTTAAAGGTTTTATTTATTTTTATTGGAAAGGCAGATATACAGAGAGGAGGAGAGACAGAGAGACAGAGAGGAAGATCTTCCATCCGATGATTCACTCCCCAAGTGACTGCAACGGCCGGTGCTGCACCGTTCAGAAGCCATGATCCAGGAACTTCCTCCAGGTCTCCCACGTGGGTACAGGGTCCCAAAGTTTTGGGCCGTCCTCCACTGCTTGCCCAGGCCACAAGCAGGGAGCTGGATGGGAAGCAGGGCCACCAGGATTAGAACCGGCGACCATATGGGATCCGGGCATGTTCAAGACAAGGACTTTAGCCACCATGCTATCATGCTGGGCCCACAAATACACAAATACATCTTTAAAAAAAAAAAGATATGGTCCAATGGCTCACTTCTGCATCACACGTATGGTCTGAAAATTGGCCAGAGTAAACATAAAGATCCTCAAGGTTCTTACTAGTTAGTCATAATTTTGGAGAAAATAGGTCCTTAATACAGCTGTCGTATCTTTATGGAAGAGTATCCGGGCCGGAGTAGTCAGTGCACAGACAGTGAGTATGCCAGAAGGTAAAACTGCAAGTGTCACCCCTGTCAGGGGACTGGCAAAGCTACTCTGTCTCTGTCTCATTTCTCTCACCCCTCAAACCAAGACTCTTCAGTACAAACGTGTTGAATGTCAACCCCATGACAGGCACTGTGTTGGACAGGAGGAACACGGGGCTGACCAAGACAGGCTCTGGTCTATCAGATGCTACCCGTGGTGAAGGGAAAACAGGTTTCCACAAGAATGTGACAAAGTACTGGGAAATTTCAGTGTGCACACACTGAAAGAAGCTTCTAGAAAAGAAGTAGAAACAGATTCTGTGAGTAAAGGAGGAGCAATAGTTTCTACCTCATGGTCTGACCAAGTAAAAGTGCTTCCTTCACCTACTCTCATTAACAATAAGTGCCTAATTGGACATTTTCCCAGGAGTAGCACCATTTATCCAGTATCATATGCCTTCTCTCTCTTTTTAAAAGCAACTTAGTTAAAAAGACACACAAACTGAATCAAAAAGGCAGGAGTAAAAATGCAGAAAAATTTCTATGGTATAGCTTCAATTCAGCTCTCTTTGTCATGAAAGTGTAGTGTACCTAGGTCAGGAAAATGCTGTTCAAAAATAGCTATTGGCTAATCGCTACCTGCTGTTCTGTTTGAAGATCAACTAAAATCAGAGCTTAAAATCAGTTTGAGGAACATTGTACTATTTACTTGTAAAAAAGGGTAGAGGTCAGTTGCACAACTGAGTAGCTCAGTGGCTTTACAATTAAGACACTATTAAAGTTAAATCTGCCAACAAAAAGAAAAGAGTATAATTTAAGCGCGTCTAGCACTAAAAGCATCACCTTTGAAAACTGTTTTCAATTAGCCTTTCAGTAGAGAAATGACTTTAATAAAAATTCTAACAAAATCAATTCTTATATTACCATTAAAAATGATTATCAGGAATAATCCAGAAATGCAAAATAACATTTAACCACTTGCAATTTTTTTAAAAAATCAGAACAAGATGTGCATGTTAAGTGTATCTGAGAGGCGTCAGAGGTGCAGTGGGTTATACTGCTGTTTGGAACACTGGCACCCCACACTGAGAGTGCCAGGCCACTACACTCAGCATCCAGCTTTCTCCTGACAGTAGACAGTGGAGCATGACCTACGTGCCAAAGTGGGAGCCTGGCTGGAGCCCCTGGCTCTGGCACTGCCTTTCCCAGACCTGGTTTTTGTGCATTTTGTGTATTTCAGAATGAACCTTCCTCTGTCACTCTGCTTTTCAAGCAAGCAATAAATATTTTTAAAATTATGTTGTCCATGAGAAAATATGTATGCATATGGACAAAGACCAAATGAGAGCAGATAAAACATGAAATTTTCATGTGAGCTTATGGGTAAGATTTTTGTGTATGACATCTTTCTTCAATATTGTTGTAACACTGCCTTATTATAAAATAAAACAACACTTTCAGGAACTTAAAATTGCAAATACTGCCACTGTCTCAAACTGGAAAGAGTTTCTACTGCATGTTTAAAGCAAAAATCTATGCTAAACAAGTTTTCCAGGAGAATCAGGAATCCCTCAGTGTGTATAGCATTCAGGCCTATTCTAGACATTTCTTGAGAAAGACAAGCTCACTCTGTAAGCTCCCAAGAGCGCCCCTTATCTCAAGAGTGTAGGACCAGCCAGGCAGATGTCCATGGATCCAGCTGTGCATCCAGGGTCTTCTCCCGAGGGGCACGCTGCTCCTCCACAACCCATGACTATGCACGTGCTGAAATAATTACAACTGTGGGCCGGGCAGCGTGGCCTAGCGGCTAAAGTCCTTGCCTTGAACGCGCCGGGATCCCATATGGGCGCTGGTTCTAATCCCTGCAGCTCCACTTCCCATACAGTTCCTTGCTTGTGGCCTGGGAAAGCAGTCGAGGACAGCCCAAAGTTTTGGGACCCTGCACCTGCGAGGGAGATGTGGAAGAGGTTCCTGTTTCCCGGCTTCAGATCGGCACAGCATCAGCCGTTGCACTCACCTGGGGAGTGAATCATCAGGTGGAAGATCTTCCTCTCTGTCTCTCCTCCTCTGTATATCTGACTTTGTAATAAAATAAATAAATCTTAAAAAAAAAATTACAACAGAGCTTTTCTACATAAAAGCATTAATGGAAGCAAAGTTCATCTCTTCACAGTACAAACATTTTGGCAACTGTTCTAGAAGCTCTTTTACAGCCAGAAAGAATATTCAGCTCTCCACTACATCCATTGGGTTCAACAAGTATATATGAAGACTCAAATAATATTTGCTGGGAAAACAAAAAACTTTAAAAGAGACCTATGTTGCATATGATAACATAACTTCATGAAACATTAATTTGTAGAATTATGAAAATTGTGCTTGCTCTACAGATTATTCTCACCAATAAAATCCCTACTAA